CCTCTTTCTCTCGGGCGGCTGCCCGGGCGGCCTCAATCTCGGCGTCTGCGGCTGCAGTGTCGCGCTGCTTCTTACCTGATACCTTCTTAAGTCGGTAGAACTCTTCTCTGTCAAGTTCATCGAGTTCGGACATAATGTCTCGTTGATGTTAGCTGCGAACCAAAGAGGATCTCAGAAGTTACTGACATTTAATGGTGTTCTCGGTCCGGGGAATAATAACATGTTCACTGGAGAAGTTAGTTTGTGGATTCCTGGCCTACTAGAAGTAATGCCTTACATTGCGTTGACTGGGAACAAAGTTAGTTAATGAGCATCGACCTGCATGTAGTAAGAGAGTACTCACCTCTCCGATTGACAACCTTGATTACCTCGTCCAGAATGACGAACGCAGTCTATAAACCAGTGTCAGAGGTAAATTATAAGCGGCTAGTTTTCACACCGTACCTGTAAGCTTGCAAGCTCAACCAAGGTTTCGACCGCGCGAGCGTACGTCTCTCGAGACCGTTGAACTTGCTGACCTCCTTTTCCGAGACCGGTCAAGCCGAAGTCGTTAATTCCTTCCTCCGTGTAGCTCTCAAAGTGAGGTAGGAGAACACCGGAGACGTTATCTTGTTTGGCGCGTACACGGAATCGTGCTTGCTTGGCGGATTCTTGAATCTGGTAGCCGATATCGCCTCCAACGGCGTAGCTCACTTCCGCCAAAGAAAACGCGGCAATCTGCATGACCCTTCCCATCTTCTGTTTGGCTTCATCGATACGTCGAGTGATCTCTGGCTTGCCATATTAGTTGAGGACTATGCGGGGAAATGCGCTCATGGTGCCCACTTACCCCGAAAACGCCTGTAGTTCATGACATCTTAGTATATGCATTACGATTGATTCTTGCGCAGCGGACTTACTTGGTAAGCGCCTCACTCTTCCTCTTCAGCAAGCTGTGTCCAGTTTCCGCGCCTTTCAGTTTACTCTTCATTAACCCCAGCGACTGGCGAGTCGGGAAGACTGCCTCGCGGCCCTAGGTGAGGAAAAGACATCAACGGTGGGTCCACAAGAAGACCTGGAGCCAAAGAGACAGACATACTACTGCACCAGACATGGTTAATAGACCCAAGGAGCACGATCAGCTTGACTTTAGAGGCCACGACAGGGAGCGGCGTAGATGACGATAGGCGATAATGGAGGAGGAGCTTGGACCACCTGCGGCCCGCATGATGCCAGGTCACGTGGGCGCTGCACGACTTCATCTTTGCAGTCTCTCAGGCGGCTATCAGCCAACGCGACGAGAAAGCTTTCCAATTAATGCTACACCCCTTTCCTCGGACTCTGTGTTGACCGTGTGAGCCGATCCCGCTCGACTGAGTGGCGACATGCCAGGGACACTCCTGCCCCCGAGATCTCACCGGCAACACGCGCAAATGGATCGCACGTCGGCCTCAGGGCCGGACCTCTATTTGATAGTGAGTTGTGGCGTCCGAATTTGGTAGGACAAAGGCTAACTGCACCATCTGTTTACAGGCGGACCAGGATACTGTATATGAACAGGATCTCCTTCGGGACACTGGCAGTATCAAGCCATGGCTTGCTTATATCGAATATAAGCAGCAGCATGGGACGCTCTACGAGCAGGCTTTTGTATGTTTCGGTTGCGATCAACCCTGCCGGAAGTGCTGCTAATTAATCGTAGGTGATGGAGCGTGCTTGCAAGCAGCTCCCAAGATCTTACAAACTTTGGAAGTTGGTACGCCGCTTACTTCAACCCCACCCTGTCGCATTGAAGGTTGCTGATATTAGTAGTACTTGGAATTCCGCACGAAGCATCTCCAAGGCCGTAACCCGACTATATACCGAGCCGAATACCAGAAGGTCAACGCGCTTTTTGAGCGTGCCCTTATCCTCCTCAACAAAATGCCACGGATTTGGGAACTGTACCTCTCATTCCTGCTTCAACAACCCCTCGTGACACAAACCCGACGTACATTCGACCGCGCACTACGGGCTCTGCCGGTTACTCAACATAACAGAATATGGAAGCTTTACAAGACTTTCGCACGTTCCGCTTCCGGCCAGACAGCCGTGAAAATCTGGGCTCGGTACATGCAGATCCATCCGGAGAATGCGGAGGAGTACATTGAGCTTCTTGTGGAGCTGGGACAATATACGGAAGCTGTGAAGCGATATATGGAGATACTCGACAACCCAAGATTCCAATCTAAGGAGGGGAAGAGTCACTTCCAGTTGTGGACTGAAATGGTGGACTTGCTCGTGTCGAAGGCGAGGCAGATCGAAACTGGTCCACATGTCGGCATTGATGTGGATGCTATTCTCCGCAGTGGAATCGACCGGTTCGCTGACCAGAGAGGTAAATTGTGGGCTGGATTAGCAACATATTGGATCACGAAGGGTAGCTTCGAAAAGGCTCGAGATACCTTCGAGGAGGGCATTACGACAGTCATGACGGTTCGCGACTTTACGCTTATTTTCGACTCCTATGTCGAATTTGAGGAGTCTATTATTGGCAATTTGATGGAAGCGGCAGCCGTTCGCGCTGATAAAGGCCAATCCGACGAAGAGGCAGATTTTGATCTCGATCTCCGAATGTTGAGGTTCGAACAGCTCATGGACCGCCGGCCATTCCTGGTCAACGATGTATTGCTACGACAGAACCCTAACAACGTCATTGAGTGGGAAAAGAGGGTTGCTTTGTGGGGTGATAACAAACAGGAAATCGTCAACACTTACACGGCAGCTATCGCAGCTATAAGCCCGAAGAAGGCTCATGGGAAGTTCTCTGAGCTCTGGGTCAACTACGCCAAATTCTACGAAAGCGGGGGAGATCTGGACACAGCTAGGGTGATCTTTGAGAAGGCCGTGAAGGTCCCCTTCAAATCGGTTGCTGAGCTCGCCGAGACCTGGTGCGAATGGGCTGAAATGGAACTCCGCGGTGAGAACTTCGACAAAGCCGTTGAGGTTATGGCGAAAGCAACGCAAGCGCCGAAAAAATCCACAGTTGACTACTTCGATGAGAACCTCTCACCTCAGCAACGAGTTCATAAGAGCTGGAAGCTGTGGAGTTTCTATGTTGATTTGGTTGAAAGTGTCGCGTCGTTGGAAGAGACAAAGAAAGTCTACGAGAGGATTTTCGAGCTACGCATCGCCACGCCCCAAACTGTGGTTAACTATGCCAACCTCTTGGAAGAGCACAAGTACTTCGAGGATTCATTCAAGGTTTACGAGCGAGGGCTGGATCTCTTCAGCTACCCGGTAGCATTCGAGCTCTGGAACCTCTACTTGACTAAAGCCGTGGATCGGAAGATTGGCATTGAAAGATTACGAGACCTGTTCGAACAGGCCCTGGATGGATGTCCTCCCAAGTTTGCCAAGCCGCTCTACTTAATGTATGGCAATCTCGAAGAGGAACGTGGATTAGCCCGCCACGCCATGCGAATCTACGAGCGTGCTACACGTGCGGTGTCCGACGAAGACAGGTTCGAGATGTTTGAGTTCTACATTACCAAGTCTGCGTCGAACTTTGGATTACCTTCCACAAGACCGATCTACGAACGCGCTATTGCGGCATTACCCGACCAGGAAGCCAAGGAGATGTGCCTCAAATTTGCAGAAATGGAACGACGACTTGGCGAAATCGACCGGGCCCGTGCAATCTACGGCCACGCTTCTCAGTTCTGTGATCCTCGGACGAACGCTCCTTTCTGGCAGAAATGGGAGGCATTCGAAGTTCAACATGGAAACGAAGATACCTTCAAGGAGATGCTGCGTATCAAGAGAAGCGTCCAAGCACAGTACAAGTATGTATTCACTCTTGATTTGACAACACTATGGATCAAGGCTAACATGGCTGAATAGCACCGACGTCAATTTCATCGCCTCCCAGGCTATTGCTCGCAGTCAACAGCGGACTCAAGACGGCGACGAAAAGGGCGCCGAGGAAGGAGATGTGGATGGTTCGACGGCAGACGCTATGGCAGCCCTGGAACGACAAGCGCGTGCTCCGGTGGGCTTTGTCGCTGCCAGCACAGGCCCCGAGGGTGGAAATCGACCTCCGCCACCTGGCCAAGAGCAGCCAGCTGCACCTGCGAACCCTGACGCTATTGACCTGGACGAAGATATGGATGCCGAGTAAAATACCTTGCGATTGCTACTTTTGTTTTCCTACCATGGCTTTGGATAGTTGCGCTGGCCGAGTTATCTCAATTATCATCGAACTGATGCATGAATATCACACTCCTTTGCTTGTTTCCCTTGTAACAATTACTATCGTCCTGATATCTCCTCGCAGCTTTTTTTTGTTTTTTTTTTTTTTACTTTTTCTTTTGGGCTGTCCCTTTGGGGGTTGCTATCCTCAGCACTTACTTGAATTATGGATATCATCTCTCTCTTACGTTTCCTTTGTTTGTGTTATTAACACTATTCGTCTGGGTGGTCTGTGAGATACCTTCGATGGTGTTTTCTGTAGACGGAATGGATATTTTATTCTGATGCTCTGCGGAGTGTCTTCCCTCTATCTGTCTGTACTTATATGAACCGGTTAATCTCCAGAACCAGTAACCTTCCATTTTGTTGGAGGGTATTTGAGAGACTGTACCCGGTAATATCTTGCATCTCAGGCCGAAGCTCAGTAAGGGGTAGTATAGGAATGTGCCTATCATGAAAGAATCACAACTACGTGGCTGTCTATCCCGGAGTTTGATCTTCTGTTACTTCAAAATGGCATACTAGATGCAAGAAGCATTCGGTAGCAGCTCTGCTTGACAATCGACCATGTACCCACATGTATTGTATTGCCTGGATAGGAGGATGAAAACACATGGACATTAATCATGAGGAATGAGACTCGAAGCAATATAGAAGGCAACATTCATAAACCCCGTAACGTAGATATCGCTTCAAAACTTCAGGGACGTGTGAAAACAAGAGAGGAAAAGAGACCCGAGAGAGAGGAGATTGACTAAGGAAGCTGCACAAAGCACGTTCAATGAAGATTATTACCAAACAGGTTGTTTCTCTTCCGGCCCATTCATCACCTCGGTCTGGGAAGCGTCACGGACCTCACTGTGAAGGGCATCACTGAAAGCTGTGTAGCTTGACCGAAGTTTTGGAATGCCCACGTCATCCGTGAACCCAACATGATAGTCTTCCGGATACCCGGTGCGCTGGAGATTTTTGATGAAGCGCGCAAAACCATCCTCAAACGTCGGTGTACAGGTCTTGTGCTTCGAGGCCAGGGTAGTAGCGTGCGCATTTATCAGCTCGATCGTGTGCTCTGTGCATCTGGTTAGCTAGCATCCTGATAAGGAGGGGTTCAAGCCACTTACTCAACAGTGAAGGAACAGCCTGCGGCACTACTCCATAGAGATTCACGAAGACATCGTAGTCCTTCCGATCACCTAAGACATACAGCTCGCTGTCAGCCAGAACGTCCCCACTCGGGACTTCGGTGCTTGCATGAAGAAGGTGCTCGCATTCATCTGCAGTCAGGCCACGATGAAGCTTCTGCAACTTGTAGCTTGAGAGGAAATAATGCCTTGATGGGGTTGAATCGTCCCGTTTCCCTTCGAGCTTCTTTACCTTCCGGGCTAGCTGATGCTTCTCGTACCACAAACCAGCCACTTTCGCTTGGAGAAACTTCACCTGGTCGCGTCGTTCATCAAGTTCATGATAAGCCTTGGACAAAGCAACCTCGTGTCTGAGGCTTGCATCGGCATCCACACGTTCCGGCGAACCCTCTTCAGCCGTCCCCTCGTGTCGGAGGACACCTAAGTCACCGTTCACACTCGCCAGCTCCGGCATTTCGTCCTCACCCACCCACGAGTTCTCATAGTTATCATCCTGGCAACCATCGTCCTCTTCGTCCTGCCCCAAATCTTCATCATTCGGGTTCGTTACCCAGCCATCTCTTTCCTGATAAGTATCTTCCTGGCCAGTCTCGACCCCATCACTTGTCGCGTGATATGCTTCATTCTGCTTGAGCAACTTGTCAAGCTTCTCGCTCATCTGATCTACCTTCCGGCGCAGGTTGTCGGTTTCGCAGGTCTGGATTGCCATTCCCATGCCCCAGGAGTTTCCGGGCGCGGGATCATGAAACCAGTCGTCTGCCGTTGAGGATTCGGGGTTGATGATGGCTGACGCTTTTTGTAGTAATTTGAGGGTCATCTTGTTCTGGTTTGCTCACGGAATGAGAGTGTTGAAGATGGTTCTTGGAGGGCTGGATTCGGGAGAGGTTGCTGTTTCTTTTGTCAATCTTGCGACTCATCGTGGTAGATGGTTTGCTTTAACTTGGGAGTGTATGAGAGGGAAAAGAAGAAGGAAGGAAATAGACTTACTGATGTTGATATTCAGGGATATTCCACGATTCGGCAATACTCTCTTTGTTCATTAGAGGGCAGAAGAAAGGGACAAGGTCCGTTCACAAGCAAAAAGGATGGATAGAGTAGCGAAAGGACGCTAGATTGATGCAGAGAAAGAAGTCTTCTAGAAGTCTCGGAGTGGTATCCCATGGTCTGCCAAAAGGCTGCGGGTGGGCCTAGCTTTTATAGACAACGGTGGGTCTTCGATTGCAGCCATCACCTGGGGTAATGAAGGCGTAGTCCGTGTGAATGGTAAAATTGAATAGTAGATGACGGTTATATTCCTGCGAAGAGTCAGGACGAGGCAAGCAATGTCGGTGAAAAGACATCATATTCACCAGTGCGTGGAGCATTCTCTAAGTTCCTGGGGGTTGGTCCACGGTTCTGACAAAGAGAGAGGGCGTTGGTCCCTCTGCACAGGGTCCGGGAGATGCAATGGACTACAATAGCGAGAAGAGCCAGATGAACTCTCCAAGACATGCCTGATCCGTTACCATAAGCCTTGAAGACTCAAGAACTAGAAACGAGAGCAAATGCCAAGTTCCCTCAGCAAAGAACTAGCAGCCTAAGATTAAAGAATCGGTGAAGATAAACAGCGCCAGACAAAAGAAGGAAAGAACCATAAAATACGCTCACACGGCAAGGAAAGTAGAAAAGACAAATTAAGGAAGAGTATGGCTGCTAAGCAGGAGTGAGTTGCATAAGCTGTAGTGCTCGGGTGGCCACGAGCCCTAAGTGTGCCACCCATTAGGAGGTCCATTGCCTACCAGGCCTGGCAGGCGATGCACGCCGAACACTTCTCGCTGGCGACGTACTGGCATACCGTTTCTATCACGAACATAAAGTTCGACAGCGCTCATAGCCCTATCACCCCTGACTAGCAGGAGGTTCATATCACAAGGGATGGAAGACGATTGTTCTTTGTCCGCAGGAAGAAACGAGGTTCTTTCCGGAAACAACGATAGGGACCTGGCCGGAACTCAAGAGCTATTAGGATTTAGTAAGGCGTCGATTATAAGGAGTATATGGTAACTGACTTGTGCCCACTGGCGTTTCGATTTGGATTTGCTCATAACTACGTAGTCAAATGCCCGGTATCCCGCAAGGCAATCTCGGAAAGACGCCGTCAAGTTTGTGGCAAGTAGCTACAGTGTGGAGCCTGACATAATAGAAGGACTGAGACAATAACTATCATATATCACAGAGGAGTACTTGATAGGCATTGCGAGGTCTTCAGGAGAAAGAACTGACAAGGTGCCTGCCTGCAATGCACAATTAACCTATGAAGGAATACAGAATTCTAGGAATATTTTTCCTCCAATGTTATTCACTACTGTCCTATTCACTAAGTCTAACGTTGCTCTACCCCAGATGACTGAAGTCATGATTGCTCTAGCACCAGAGGCTGAGTAGTGTCTTATTTCTATAAGGTCGATCTACTCATACACCTTCTGAGCACATCTGCCTGTTCACAGTCGCCGCAGGAAAGGAAAGCAAGACAACAGGCTGCAGAAGAAATGTAGAACTAAAGCAGTGAGATAAAGTAACATCTCGTAAACGAACACCCACGATCAACAAGATGAATAGTGATCGTGAGAGATTGCAGATATAGCAAACTCCCCAAAGTCCCTTCCGCTGGCATCGTACACTATCTAGGCTCTTGATGTCCAGCAAGACTGGTTTATAGTCCTTCAGTTGTGGTCATGGGAGATTTATATTTAAATACGATACCAGGTCGGAAGATCTATTATGAGATTCATCAAAGATCCCAAAATCCAAGAATGACTGGAGTTACACGTCTGCTAACCTGGTGTTATCTACAGCAAAAGCATGAATAAGCGAGTTCTGCTTTATAGCCCGATCAGATAACCCCCGGCCCTCATGAAAGAATGCCACAGTAGTGGTCCCAGCACCATCGTAGACCCCAACCCATCGTTACCTGGGCTATGTCAATCTAGCACTCACACTCCTTATCGGTGTATGGACTGGTACACACCTACCAGTTGCAAACACAGTGCTCCTTGTGCCTATTACAGTGACACCAGTGGTAGGGAGTGCAGAAGCAAAGCCCGTGGGTGCACGTCCCGTCGCATCTTCTCTAAACCCGATATTGAATTTGTGAGTACTCACTGGGACTGGATATGCTGTTGGAAGGAGGAGGACATACTTGTTCAGCCTGGAGGACATCCTCTGGGTCGAAGGGGCTGGTCGTCTCTAGAAGAGCAGCAGGCGTAGGAGTGGGGGTATGAATAGGGGTAGGAATAGGAGTAGGAACATTGTTACTGGTAGTGCTGTCATGGATAAAGGTTTGCGGGGAGAAAGCCAGTATAGTCTTGAGATATAAACCGAGTATGGCGAGGAGAGCAACAGTAGTCTTGATGGAAAGCATTCTGCTCGAGAGTTGGCGTAACTGGCTTTGTTTAGATGGATGCAGAGTGTCTTTGGCAGAGATATCGGTGTCGATGGATGGGAACAGAGAGGAAGAGAGAAGACAACACGACCGAGGGTTGTTGAAGATATATCCATGTCCCAATACTAGGATATAGTCAGGTGTTGTAGTTGCATTCGCCGCGAGTGCCTGCTATTTCACTCGGCGCATTCAATGATTCAATGAATACACCACTTGAGGCAGCGTATCCCTCTTGCCATTCATACTTGGGTATAGATTCATTCGCCTAAATCAGTTCACTCTGGAGTAAATGAGCCTTTCAAAACCCCACGCCTTTGTTATTCTTTTAGTGACATGTGTGAGAATCTTATACCGCATATCAAGCGCAACCGCCATATTATTTCGCCCTATTCCAAAGACCATTCATTCATCGACTCATCTCATAGACTTAACGTAGTCATTTTGATGTTACCCAGCCTCACTAGGTCTGTAAGGGCTATATTCACAATATTCCGAGAGATTTGTTATATTATCTCCGGCGCGTAGGTGTTGCTCAAAGACGAAGAAACCAAAACACAAAAGGAAGAATGCCAGCATTCTTCCAGATTAAGTTGCTGTCGCCAGTGAAGCGAGCATTGTAATTGTACGCGATAGCATCCTGTAACAGGAAAATCTCAATGGATAGGGGTTACGATTGTGTGTACTCCATATGCCATCCCACCATGTTAGTATCTCAGGCTTTTGCTTGTCATATAGACCATCGTCTCACAACCCTTCGAAAGGTACGGAGTATACATAACTAATAACTGATACTGTCCCACATATGAGACTAGACCCGTCCCTTGCCGATATGCCACAAGAGGGCAGACCCACCCCACCTGCCGAGTCGACGGAGTATCTCGAGGCTCGCTTAGTGCAGGATGGGCCGAGGTAGATGAATGCCATGAGGTAAAGAGAATACGAGTCTGCACCCTCTGCAGCGTCCATCACATGGGCTAATTAAAGAATGAGTCTTCAGCTGGAGCGGCTGAAGGCGGGGAGAAACTCCAGAGGATAGTTACGCTGCGTACATTGGCCGTTTCTTCGCCAAAATTCCATTATGGGAATGAACGCCGGCGCCGCAGTTAAGCCCTTTGCCGATCGACATCTTAAACCGCATCTTGGCAGTGATCAACCGAAAATAGCTTCTGTCAAACTCTCGCGAGAGACCCTGACAGCAGCACGGTGGGCTTCTTCCACAGTTTGATGGCATGATAAGACACCGGTCAGACAGTCCGGCACAAACGACCGACCAAGAAGCCCTGATGCTATCCAACCGGAGAAAGACGCGGATCGAAGAATGCGAAGCTGTGGCGCACAGACAGGGGGAAAGGGAAGAATGATCCGGCTTTGCAGGAGTGGAGCCCACGAGGCGTTGGAGGGATCGGCTCTACTAGGTCAACTTGGTCAAGAGCCGGCCAGTCCTAGTCCACTGCAATGAGCAGGGATCGGTATGCTTCCACAGATCAGCAATGTCTTGTCTCCCCTTTTGAGGGGGGATGGGATAACGTCTTTTTCTGCCTCCTAAAAAAAAAAACTATAAAAGAGTTGTCGGGGGGCCCGGTTCTCTGGAGTAACATGCACACTGTCTGATTCTCAATCATGTTTGTTCGTCAGTTGTTGGGCCTTCTGGCCGTAGGCACTGGCCTGGCTACGGCTGTCAATCTCACTGGATACGAGTATGTGGTTGTGGGATCTGGCGCCGGTGGTGGCCCGTTAGCTGCTCGCCTGGCTCTCGCAGGGCATAAGACTCTGCTGATCGAGGCCGGTGATGATCAGGGTCTGAACCTCAACTATTCTATTCCCGCCTACTCGGCAAAGGCCTCGGAGGATGAGGAGATGTCCTGGAACTTCTTCGTTCGCCATTACGCAGATGAGGAGAGACAAGCCCGCGACTATAAAACAAGCTATGAAACTCCGGGTGGTGAGATCTATACCGGTCTGAACCCACCGGAGGGCTCAACCATGAAGGGAACCCTCTATCCTCGCACGGGAACCCTAGGTGGTTGCACTGCGCACAATGCCCTGATTGCGATCTATCCTCACCAGTCCGACTTCGAATACATTGCCACCCTTACCGGGGATGGCTCTTGGTCTCCAGATAACATGCGCAAGTACTTTGCCAAGTTAGAGAACAACAACTACCTCCTCCCTGGACAGAAAGGCCATGGCTACGACGGCTGGCTCCATACCGAGACCGCCCCACTCAGCCTGGTTTTGGAGGACCCCCAGCTGCTCAGCTTGCTCCTGGGCGGTGCTTTCGCTCTCGGTAATCATACAAACACGATCTTCAACGTTGGAACCCTTCTTGCCGGTGATGCGAATGCCGACAAGGAGACCCGCGATACCAAGCCGGGCTATTACCAGATCCCGATCTCCACCAACGACGCCCACCGGAATGGACCCCGCGAGTTCATCCTCGCTGTCCGCGATGCTAAGAACGACGACGGGAGCAAGAAGTATCCATTGGATGTGCGCACCAACTGTTTCGTCACCAAAGTTACCTTCGACGAGTCTGAGAACCCACCCCGCGCTACCGGCGTTGAATTTCTCGATGGCCAACACCTCTACCGCGCCAGCCCCCTCGCCAACGACTACTCCAAGGGAACACCAGGTACAGCGCAGGCCTCGCGCGAAGTCATCGTCGCCGGTGGCGTGTACAACTCCCCCCAACTCCTCAAACTGAGCGGTGTCGGCCCAGCCGAGGAGCTCCAGAAGTTCGGAATCAAGGTTATCTCCGACCTGCCGGGCGTGGGAACCAACCTGCAGGATCACTACGAGATCACCGTGCAGGGCCACGTCCCCAAGGACTGGGCCGTCCTAGACGGCTGCACCTTCAGCGAGAATGGCGAAGCCGACCCCTGCATCGACCGATGGGAAACCCCCACCCCTATCCTGAAAGACCGGGGCATCTACTCTTCCTCCGGACTAGCGGCGACGATGTTCTATAAGAGCAGTGTGACGGCCGACGACTCTTACGATGTGTTTGTCTTCGGTGGTCCAGTCAATTTCCGTGGTTACTTCCCCAACTACAGTATCAATGCCACCAGTGAGCATGACTGGTTTACCTGGGCTATTTTGAAGGGTCATCCCCGTAACTCCGCGGGCAGCGTCACTCTCCGGTCTGCCGATCCGCTTGATATGCCCGAGATCGTGTTCAACTACTTCGACACTGGCGTGGGTGACTATGATGCCGATTTGCAGGCGCTCTATGAGGCGGTCGAGCTAAGTCGCGAGGCGTTCGATCGTCAGCTCGTGGAGGTCACTGAGGTGCTCCCCGGGGCTGATGTGAAGACCAAGGAGGATATCCAGCAGTATGCGAAGGATACAGCTTGGGGACACCATGCCTCTTGTACGTGCCCTATCGGTGCGGATGACGATCCGATGGCGGTCTTGGACGCAAAATTCCGGGTCCGTGGTGTCAGTGGGCTTCGTGTGGTTGATGCTTCAGTTTACCCCAAGATTCCCGGCACCTTTACCGCTGTTTCGACTTATATTGTTGCCGAGAAGGCAGCGGATGAGATTCTGTCTGAGTTGAACTAGACTCCAAGAGTCTACAGTGTGGAGCGTGCTATGCATAGCACAACGTTGTATATACTGCGCAAGTAACATTCCTGTAATTATAAGTTTGGAAGAACGTCTTATAATACCAACGCAAACATACCTATGTGACATTGGCTCCCGATCATCGAGCGATGTATTATCTAGTGTCCGAGGAGCACTTTTCCAAGCTCTCCTTCATCAATATAGGCTGCTTATTCTCTAATGTCAGCCCATACGGCCGAATATCTCTGCGGATCCTACCCATGCAGTCCCATGGATCCCCTATCCCTTTCCTAGGCAGCTTAACCCGTACGCGGAGTGAAGAGGATTTGGCTATTGCAGCTTTAGCAAAATTCCCTAACCCAAATCTCTTCTGTGTCCATGGAGTTTTCGGCAATCCCCATAGTTCTAAAACGTGGACAAGTCGAGCCTTCAAGACCAAGTTTGAGCAGATTGGGAGCAAGCAATAACTCCCTCCATATTCACCTACCATCTGCATCGCCCAATTTGCCATATCGGTAGTGTCAAGGCCTCTACATTGGGAAAGTTAGATGCGTCAAAGACGCCTCATTTGCCTTCGACGTCCAGACGCCCGATATGTATAGATTTTAGGGTAGTCTTGTGAATTGAGAGCCACGTATTGGGCAGAGAAAGCTCCAAGAGGGCAAGATGCTGGGAGCGCCAGTCCTTAGAATAGCCGGTGAGACTGGAATGAACAAGTGATCTCGACCATCGAATGATCTGCTGTGTTGCTTGGGGCCCGTCGCTATACCTGGAGAGGCAAATCCCAAGGCTAGAGGAACACCAGTTACCTGCTCCAGATCCCAGCCAAACTCCTAGTTAATAAGGCCCATTTTGAACCACGAGAAGCGGAGGTATGAGTTTCAGGTGCTCGCCCAATATGTGACATTGATAGGAAGATACAGATTTATGTAGATCATTAAAGATTCTTATATGATGTTTGTGAAACATTAGGAGTTGGGTTTTCGGCGGCATATTAGCAGCAACAATTAGGAGAATCCACGATTAACACTCAAAAACGCCATGGACAAGTCCCAGAAAACGATGATCTATGTACGTAGCGTCATTCACGAGATGAACGTCGACTCGGAGAACATGACACCCTCCTCGGAGACTTCTTCATCTCCGACCTTCAACTTCAGTGTAAGCTTCTCTTGGGGAGCGAACTAAATCCTCGTTAGCGTAACTCGTCATCATAAGCAGCACACAGCCTTACCTGGAAGATGTAGGGCCGTGTGCCAGCGACACTACCGGCAATGGTCTTGATAAAGCCTGGAACCTCCGCCATAACGTCAATACGGTCCAACCTCCTGCCGAGCGTACTATCGAGCTCCGCATGGACAGTCTTGTCATCTTGCGACTTGCCATCCCAAACCCACTTGATGGATTTCGGCTCGGGCCAGTCGCTATCCTGGTCCTGGGCTGCCTCGGTATGGGTAGCCGAGTTGGTCACACCGGCGTAAATAATCTCTCCATCTTTAACAATTCCGCCAACGTTCACCACGGTCGATCCGTAAGAGGGGGGTGTTGTAAACTCCATCATGACGGCGGTATATGTCGGCGTCTGGAAGTTGACGAAGTTCCACCGCGCAGCTACCTTAAGATTAGAACGCCGATTGTTCAGCGGCTTCTTGGAACATCACTCACCAGCATGATGCGGCTTCATGCCTTGAAGACCATGGATGAACATGCCGCGGCCTTTGAGGTCGTAAGTTTGCTCCTTGGTGGTGATCGTTCCTTCAACACCACAGCGGGGCCAGAATGCATGGCTCATCGAACCCCAGGGGTTCTGTGCATCTGTACCGAAGTAGGAAGTGCCATCCTTTCCAATGACGAAACCAGGGGAAGAACGGTTGAAGGTGATGTTCACCAGACAGTCTTCGTTCACGGCGGATTTCAGGGTGTAAGCATCTCCTTCCTCATTGAGCGCTAGAGAGAGGTTATCGGCTCCAAAGGAAAGCATGCTCTCATCGAACATAAAGTTGTACAAGGGATCCGAGTACCACTTGTGGGGGGCATCTCCAGTAAGGTTGAAGATCTTCGCGTTGAACTGGGCGGTGGTGTGGATGCCACTATAACAACCAAGAGAGGTTAGAGAAAACAGAACCAGCTTCGGCCAGGAGGAGAAGGTTTAGGATTCGGAGAAAAGTCCGGTGCAGCGAGGCAATGATATCCTTACACAATATTGCTGTAGATGATCTGCACAAAAACTAAGGTGCCATTGTCGGCCATGATATAAAAGGTCTTGGTCTCGACATTGGTGTATTGGTAGGCGCGCAACGCAGGTCCTCCTTCGAGAGTACAGTGTAAGGCACTTCTTGTGCTTGTTGGGCAACAGATCGAATCGCCTCAGGGCCATAGATCGGCTCCTGTGTACCCGCAACACTCGCGAGACTAGCCGTAGTGTGAAAGATTAGCACGGTTGGATCTAAGACCCACCAGGATGGAAAATATGAGAGGAAATGCGTACGTTGATTTGAGCCAGTTCATGATGGAATTAAAGGGAGATAGAGTGACGGGGGTAAGTAGAGTTAAAGCGGTGGAGGGAGAGGGAAGAGAGAGAAAGAGTAAAGGAAAGTGTAGGTGAAGGGAAATGAAATCGATAGCGCGCGGGGAGAGACAGAGAGAGGCAAAGGGGGGGGGGGGGGGGGGGGGCAACTCAATAGCTTCTGACAATGGCAAATAAATCAATCTTTGACGAAGGGAAATGAAAAACAACTCGGATCAAGTGCAGTACGGGCTTTCTAAAGATTACAAATTATTCAAGGGAGCTAAATGGAATACAAGGATCGAGATTGAGAATCATTTACTCATACATGCATTCATATGTATTCTACTCCATACAATGTTTTTAATATGACGTTCAGCATTTCATTTCATTTCGTTTCTTCGCTTGTGGTTAATACGGTAGGTAAGTAATTCCGTCGCCGCGGCGCCATTCCGAATCCAGAACTCTCCAAAACTCTGGGACCGCAAAAAGACCTCCGCCCATACAATTCATTCCATTCGGTCCATATATACCATTGACCTAACGCCGTTCCTTTCCACCTTTGGGTTTCCCACTAAGAACCGCTCCTGATTCACTATGGCGAAAAAAGCATTGGCCAAAGATCAAATTGTGAAGCTCATCGTGGGCGCAGGACAGGCCAGTCCCAGTCCTCCAGTTGGTCCGGCCCTCGGTAGCAAGGGTGTCAAGAGTATGGATTTTTGCAAGGTACGTTACGGGAAGAAATAGGTTCAGAGCTCGAAGATACACCAAACCTACAGGGCATGACAATGATCCAGTCCACTCACTGATGGCTTACCATAGGAATTCACGCCCGGACCGCACACATCAACACCGGAGTACCCGTTCCCGCGCGTGTCACCGTTCGTCCGGATCGCTCTTTCACATTCGATCTCCGCACCCCCACGACGACCTGGCTGCTGCTGCAGGCCGCCAACGTGGAACCTCGTAAGAATCGCATACGCGGAGCCATGAACCCAGGCCACGAGATCGTTGGAAAGGTGTCCCTGAAACATGTCTACGAGATCGCGCAAATCAAGCATTCCGAGACGAGACTATCGGGATTGAGTCTGCAGGGGCTATGCAAGAGCGTCATTGCGCAGGCGAAGTCCATTGGCATCCAGGTTGTTCCCTAAATGGGAAGGGGGCGAGATCGACTGTATATTTATTTGACATCCCTGATACGATGCGAGTGTTGCGACTACTGCCGTGGATTATGATACTGGCGTTCTTGGGTATGGAGTCTGTTTTCAATTGTATTATAATACATTGCATGTGATATAGAAAGCGTTGTCAGATACCTGAAGCATCTGCACATGGGCCAGGCCTTTTGAGGCATGAGACAGATGAAGCTAGCCATCTACGTCCCGTCCTCGGAAAAGGTGGTTCTCTGATCTGAGCAGCACAAAACTATGGTTGGGCACCTTGATAACCGAAGTTGATGTAAAAGCATTCATTCCGTGACCAGACTGAGAAAGGATGGATATGCATATGTCTCTTCACATCCCTTTCCAATGGTGACAGGAGAATAGGGGGCCGCAAATGATATATCCTACTTGATGAGAAGTAAAATAAAATAAGATCAAAATAACAATCGAAGTTAGAAACCATTACGACGATGATGATGAAATAAATTAAGGGTAGAGTGAAAGGGGCCCTGAGAAAAGAGACGTAAGGGATCAAACCAACTAAACGCCAAGAGCAGCCATCAATGGCGGATCCCTTCTTGTCACCAAGGGTACTCCTGAGTGAGGACGACGAGTCTTCTCCTGATAGAACATTCAAATTGAATACGAGAGGGAGAGGCTTTTGCTTGGCAATTATTTGGCCTACGCAATCAGTTCAATTATTGCCTCCTGGACAGGGAGTGACCTTCAATGATGATCATCTGGCAGGCAGATAGTATCGCCCAAATGAGATAGGATAGACGACGAAGCGAGAGAGTGGGAATTCCCACATTCCCCATCTTTTTCCTGGAGTCTGTTTTTGAAGTGTTTTTGGTCGGAAGTTGGGGGTCGTAACTCAAAAGAACATTTGCCTCGAGTACCGTAGACTATGTACCTCGAAGAAACCCGTACCAAGTGGATAATGATCAAAGAGGCTCATGGGGAGCCGGCGGCTGGTGGACGGAGTGGGTATCCATGAACATGTCAGGACTCCGAACCATTTAATGATTGCCTAATGCATTCCACACACAACCCTCAACAAGCGATTGTTAATGACAATGATTGAACAAGTGGACCCGCAAGGTCTGGATGTTATTAGTAGTATGACAGAAGGTTGATTCAGGATGACTCTTTTCATCCGTGATATTCAACTACTTTGTTCCTATTGATTGCTAAAAGGAAAACCAACACGGCAAATCTGCAGGGCTGCCAAGCTAACCGAGTCTGGAAGCCTTCCAGATCAGGTCCATCCGTGACTAAACCCGGCCAGGAATGCGTCCCAAAGCGGTGTCCCACGCCCCACTCCATCGAGTTAGATGAGGTAATATGACCAGCATGAACCAAGAAACCGGTGGCGGGAAGCTTTGCTGTCAAAATCTACTATGAGGTAAAAGTAAAGGACTGGAAATTGTGGAAAGGTCTGGAGACACAGTACCAACCCATCGCCAATAGCCGACCAACCCCAGCTGGAACGTCAAAGCGGTGGCGGATCAGCCGAGTAGCCGTGAATGTAACTAACTCTCACTGTGCAGCAGAATTCCACGCCAGATGAAATCCAGAATGTTATAGCGGGGTAGACGGTCAGCCACCCTGGACGGAGTTGGAGGGCCGATCGGGAGGGGAGAATCTGGAAGGGTTGGTGTTCTCCAATCCTGTTCGCGGACACTTGTCGGTATTATTAGTAGTCTGCCAGTACCGATAACGACCAAGTCTGGCTCATCCTTGGCTTGAGGCCGAATGACCCCCAAGGCTGAGTGGATTTGCTAAGTACCAAGGCTGGCTATCATTCTTATGACTATTGCCTTAAATCTCTGGTTCTATTTCTCTTCGTAATACAACAGGAAATCTGGTGCATACTACTAGTAGTAGTTAACTACTACTCATGGAGAAAGCCATGGAGGAATTGACAGCTGTAAATAGAAGACTTGGCTTCAATCCCACCGGGTCACATGGTGATTCATCTCAGTATTGCTCGTACCAGAAAGAAAGTAACGAGTCCCCCAGAGGATCATGATGACGACTCTGTATTTAACTGTCATATACCGTTGACCGTCTCCGCCAGATTCCGAAGAAGATTGAACCGTGTCAAATCCAATCCTCTCAGCACGGGCAAACGGTCAGTCGCAACCTCAGCAATTGATTTCTCTGGCCTGCATAAACTTTTTTCTTTGCCTTTTTTTTTTACTTTTTTCTCTCCCGCCTTGTCCCCGACCACTTTTCTTTCCAGGACGAAAGCGACTATACTTGACCAGAAAAACCAAGGGGGAATTGTCTTTTTTTCCCCTTCCAACTGTTCGGGGCCAATCCATACATCTTGAACTGATCCGCTTGAATGGTCCAGGCGTTTGACGAACCCACACCCCCAGCTACGAAACTAATCTATTCTGCCACTAAACTAATCCTCCTCCGTCCGGCGCCGCTATTGCCGCCGGCGTCATTTTCTGGCTCCAAACCCCAAACCCGCCGCACCTGCTTTCTCTCTTGCCCTCCCTCTTCTCTCTCTCCCTCTCTTTCTTTTCCTCGTCTGGTGGATCTCTCCCCTCAACTCCGGCCCCTCCGTACATCCCACTCCTCCTTCTGCTGGTTCTTGTCGAACCCTTGACGATAAGAGGCGCAAGGACTACTCGGTGTCTTTTAACCATCCTCTCGGTCCTCCGCCGTTTGTGAATGGGTCCTGTTTTCTCTCCGCCTACTGTTTTGTGAGTAACAACGGCAACGGATCTTGCAGACGAAATCCTCCGCGCATTTCCACCTCACAGCTCGTTGGTTGCCTCCGGTCAAACATTCAACCACATCCGCCTCCGGAGAATAAGTAAAAGGAAAAAGCTATTCTACTATAACCGTTTGACTTAGTTATCGCTATTATCATCGGCCTGCCTATCAGCTCAATCCGTGGAGGGGCATGTGTCCCGCAACGTAATTTTGGGGAGTATGACGTCTGAAGCGACTGGTTTCGCCCATGCGAACATGAATTCCGGTATGCAACGCCCCTCACCACCGTCAGCCGAGAATATGTATTGTATACTGATATCATTGATTTTTATCGCCAGACTCTTTGACAACAACTCAGCAACCCGTCCCAGCGCCAGCTGGGCAGGGTACGAATTCAGCTGATCAGGAGAACAAATCTAAAGCACAACCCAGCCAGGTCCGCTTCTCTTCAACAACGGAGGAAATCGAGCCATCGGCCGCCACTGGTGGCCCCGCACCGAGGCCTGTCGAGACCCCCAAGCAGGTGGACGACTTGCGGTCTTTGGCGGCTAGCCTTCAAAGATCCCAATTACAAGAGTCACGGCTGGGGAGCTTCTCATATGATCCCGTCTCTCTACCTTCTTCAAGGGTATGTATTCGCAGGGAATCTGCCGGCATGTGGCTGCATATGTTCTGCAAGGCACCGTCCTCGCATCGGCCCGCCTGAACTGAGGGGAGAGAAAGAGGCTGATCACTATACTGTCCCTTACAGGTTGCGTCCCGAGAATCAAGCGATCGAAGTACACGAGGAGCTAATGGATCTGGTTTGCCGTCTCCCCATGCCTCCCCACCGGTGTCCGTGATGCAATCACCTCCACTTACACCCGCGGCCACCCATTCGCGTGAATCCAAAACTAATGGCACTTCCTCGATGTCGAATGCTACAGATCGAGGAACCGGCGCAAACTCAGCGGCGATGACCCCAGAGACGTCTCCACCCACAGGCGGATCCACGAAGAGCCAAGCACCCCAAAGTGCCCCAACTTCGCGGCCTGGTTCGACTGACCACCTAGCAAAGACCAATGTTTCGCAAACATCATCTCACCCACAGAATGGAGTAAAACATCGGGCGCAGTTCTTCATTGGGCCTGATGCTAGCTCTCAAGACGAAAGCCCGCCAGCCACTCCTAGGGTCGACTACACTCCTCCTGGCGCCATCACGCCGGTAGGAGAACCGGATGATCCGTACGCTCGCAGCAAGCGCCCTCCTCAGTCGAAGAACCTTTCTCAGCTCGATCAGCGGTTTATTTTTGGCGGCCGTGACTTTAAGCGGCGTACACACACGTCGTCGTTCGGCCGTCCATCGACCCCCCGGTCGGCAAGCGCGAGTGATCTGAAGGCAAGCGATAGGCAACGTAGTGGGTTTTTCGGCAGCAAAAAGGACTCCAGACAGCAAGAACCCGAGGGTAAACATCATGGTCATATGGCGGAGCTCAAGCGATTCTTCAAGATGGGTCATAAACACAAACGCGCCGAGTCACCATCATCGGCAGCGAAACGGTCGAGCAGGTCCTCTGGGAAAAGCACCCCCTATCAAATGGCACCCGACAGCGTCCCGTTTGCTGATGATCATGGGCTCAATTCCAAGTATGGGAAGTTAGGGAAGGTTCTAGGATCTGGGGCCGGTGGCTCTGTTCGGTTACTGAAACGTAACAGCGACGGCGTGACTTTTGCCGTGAAACAGTTTCGAGACCGTCATTCGTGGGAGACGTTGAAGGAATATTCGAAAAAAGTCACAGCAGAGTTCTGCATTGGGTCAACTTTACACCATGGTAACATCATCGAAACCCTTGATATCATCCAAGAAGGAAACCATTGGTATGAGGTCATGGAATACGCCCCATTTGACCTTTTCGCAATTGTTATGACTGGCAAGATGCAGAAGGAGGAAGTCGCGTGCTCCTTCAAGCAGATCCTCAGCGGAGTGGCATATCTACACGGGATGGGCTTGGCCCATCGGGATTTAAAGCTGGATAACGTGGTTGTCAACGAGCATGGCATTATGAAACTGATTGACTTCGGGAGTGCTGTTGTTTTCCGGTACCCTTTTGAGAATGATATTGTTCCTGCTTCAGGTGAGTTTGACTGTTATGCTCATCAAGTCGTTCTCATAAAGGAACATTTTTTTTGTTGAACTGACAAATCCATTCAGGAATCGTGGGTTCCGACCCGTACCTCGCCCCGGAAGTGTATGATGAGAAGAAATATGACCCGCGCCCTACGGATATCTGGTCGCTGGCTATTATCTTCTGCTGCATGAGTTTGCGGCGATTCCCTTGGAAGCAACCCCGAGTTAGCGATAACTCCTATAGACTCTTTGTGTCCTCCCCTACCCCGGGGACTCCGGTACCAGATGCTGATCCGAAACGCCATCGACCGATCAAGTCTGCTCCTGACCTCTCCTCATCTGCGCGGGAAGGCCAGTCCTCGGAATCGAAGAATGGAGTGTCCGGGCCACTATCAGAACACTCTAAAAGCCAGGATGCGTCAAAAGCCCAACCGAAACCGGAACCAACCACCCACGACGAAAATCGACCCCCAGAGAGCCCTCAAGAGAAGACACCTAGCGACAATCAGAAAAACGGCAATGCTGACAACAAGCCCAGACGCACAACCAGCAAAGAGGCACCCCCGCTTCCCCCCGGCTCGGCGCCGCCGTCAGGACAACGTCAGGAAGTTATCAAGGGCCCATGGAGGCTTTTGCGGCTCCTGCCTCGCGAAAGCCGTTATATCATCGGCCGGATGCTCAAGGTGAGCGTGAAAGAACGAGCGGTCCTCGATGATGTCTTGACCGATGAATGGATTCGAAACATCGATGCCTGCCACCAAGAGGTCTCCGGGGAGGTTCACAGGGCTCCGGGCCATACACACATCCTGGAGCCACCTTCTCCAAGCCCCGCAGTGGCCAGTAAGGCCAAATAGGCCTATTACTCTTAATACCAGCTAATACTCTTCGTGGTCCATTTTCCGACCCGAGACCTTTGTTTCCATATTGCTTTGTCGCTTCCGGTTGCTCTCGAGTTGTGGTACACTTTTGTGGGCTTTTACCGTCAAGTTGTTGTTCAGGGCATATTGCCCCATGGTGGTCTTCTGTCGCTCTTTACCCGTTTTGTACGGTTCAATATAGGTCATGAGGTCAATGCTTTCTACGCTACCTCAGTTGTTTTGATTATACACTTTCACTTTCCCTAGGTTGGGAAGAGGGAGCAAATGCTTTCGCTCCGTCTTTTTCCTCCCCGCGTTGTTATACAGGCGTTTATGGTTGGTCGTGTGAAACGGAGCTACTCGGGCGATTAACCTTCCCAGCAATCAATGGCTGGTTGTTAGACCTCTATTGCCCCTTTCTACTTGTTTTACATTTCTTCTTTGGCTTCGATATCTCCTATGCAGTATTATATCGTGCATCTGGCTCGGTTCCAGGGTCACCTCATTCTTCGGTCTGCTCATTCATTTCACATGCCCCTAATTGTATTCATCAAGCCAAAACTAGCCAGGTAGATACTATAAATACATGAACTAAAGAACTGTCTGCAATATGAAAAAAAGAGGAAGAACTTGATGTTAAAAGCCAGCAGTAGCTAGGAGGAACGAAACATATAATATTTTACGGCTGGATTGCTCTATGGTTGAAACTCCTCCCGGCGGCGGAGATTGCGGAGTTTAGCGAGATAGGCGATTATCGGAGTTTCGTCAGATCCAAAGATACGCCGGGAATTCCATCTTCTGCGGTCCGCTCCTTCGTGCCACATCCCCAACCCGCGTTTCACTATCATGGCTCAGTCACCCGAAGCGGAGCCATTGGTCTCCTTATGGACGAGGTCTTTGCTTGTATGCTGTGATAATTACGCTTGGTCCCCCGCTTGATCATCTGTCAACTAACCTTTCCTGCCGCACAAGTCTGGTGCAGTGGCCGGGCTCACTGTCGACTGTTCGTTGTACCCATTAGATACAATCAAAACACGCCTTCAGAAAGCTAGACACCATGCCCCATCGGCTCCCACTACCAGTCTGTCCCTGAGACAGACTATCCGAGGCATCTATGCTGGTCTCCCTTCCGTCCTCTTCGGCTCGGCACCATCAGCCGCATCCTTCTTCATCGTCTACGATGGCGTGAAGCGCTCTCTTCTACCAGTCTCGAGCTCCGAGGCTCCGTCCCGGACACATATAATCCTTACACACTCTCTTGCGTCTTCGATGGGTGAGGTAGCAGCTTGCGCAGTTCGCGTACCTACTGAAGTTATCAAACAACGAGCTCAAGCGGGTCTCTTTGGTGGCTCAAGTTTGTTGGCCTTGAAGGATATTCTGGCTTTGCGCCACCCAGATGCTGCCCGTGGGATAAGTGGGGGTTATGGACAGGTCATCAGGGAACTGTATCGGGGAGCCGGTATCACCATCGCAAGGGAAATCCCATTTACCGTTTTACAGTTCACCATGTGGGAATCAATGAAGGAGGCATATGCCAAGCGCATGCAGCATGCTTCGAAATCTGGCGCGGGCTCTTCCATAGACCAGGTGCCAGCCTCTACAAGTGCTATGTTCGGCAGTGTCGCTGGCGCAATTGCCGCCGGGCTTACGACCCCTCTCGACGTCATCAAGACGCGAGTCATGCTCGCTCGTCGGGGAGATGGTGCGGAAGGCGGCCGCGTGCGGATCAAGGATGTGGTTCAGGATATTTCCAAGGAAGGGGTTGGGGCTTTCTGGAGAGGTATCGGGCCACGGGTGGCCTGGATCGGCATTGGAGGCGCCGTGTTTTTGGGTAGTTACCAATGGGCATGGAATTCCCTTGAGAGGAAAAGTAGGTCACAGGACGAATAAAGGGCTCATTTATATATAATCTCATCGCTTGTACAATACATCATAGCGCGATAAATAGACGAGGATAGGGCACTCTACCTGCATCATACATGGCCTCAGCTCTTTCTTGTGATACTAGCAGCTTCCTAGCATTGGCCACTGACCTCGCTGATTAACAGCCCCTCTCACTTGCTATCACCAGACAAATCGCCATCGCAATCCGGCAACAAATAGCTGGATTTATACTTTCCGCCCTCCACAACCCATTGCAGTCGCTCTCCCTTCTCAATCCGATGGCGCACCACAAATGATTCTCCTTCGCCTGGCCGGCGTGTAGGATGACGTACCGACCTCGGCCACGGTGAAGGGTATGCACCGTGCGACCCCGGGTTGCGATGGAAATATCCCATCGGCGACCGGGGCGTAATGAAGTAGTAGATCGTAGTGCTCGCTGACCGGGTAGCTTTCTCGGCATCTAGCTCCATTATTGTCTTGCTCTTGTCCGTGTCGTCATGATAGGGATTTGGGATCTGGAGCGGATGGCGATCGGGTTTCGCTGTAGTAGTCTCCGTCGGGGTGAGGCTGTACTAGCTGGAGGGCCTCGATCGTCTTTTGAACGCTGGGCGATTTCAGGCGCGCTCTTCTCGTTGGTCGCAGGTGGTTGATAGTAGGGCTGAACTAAGGTGGTGGGGACGTCCGTTTGTACTTTAATTTACAACCATTTGCTCTGCTTTTTTCCTATTGGGAAAGACTTGGTTGTAGCCTATGTCAGAGGGGATTCTCGCAGAGACCTAGATATAACATAGCCTATGCCCCGATGACCTCACTCACGGAATTTATCAGGAGGTCAGCTATACCATTGGTGAGGGATCATAGTTCTACATTGTATTTTAGAGATCAAGTGTATAATGAGCTGAATTGGTCTTATAGTTGATATCTGGTACTCCTGGTACTCCGTGCTAATGGATGTAGGGCTTGCGTTGGGCTAGTTCATAGAGATTGATTCTATTGGTTCGTTTCATTTGGACCTGGTATACTACTAGTAGTACTACTAGTACTACTGTACTGTGTAGTATAGTAACTGATCTATGTTTTGCATAGATCGGTGTGTACAATGATGCCAGTTATAGCCGTCGACCGAAGTGAACATCCACACATGGGCCATGCCAGCACTTACTAGTACTCGAGGATTAGTAGATGTTCAGTGGCATCGGACGAACTGCGGCGGTCAACACAACCCCCCGGCAAATGATATCACTGCACTTGAACGTTAAATGAAGTGCGGAAGTGGAGAAGTGGTCCTACTACTAGTAGTAGTAAGTAATTAACATCCCGCACTGGTTCACTTCAATGCACTTGTGTTGCAGTAGGAATGTATATATATATAAAACAAAAAGGAACGGAAAGGAGTAGAAGAAAAAGAAGAGACTACCAGGTAGTATATCACTGGAGGACTGGAAAGGATTGAATCAGGAACACCCCATCATGTGAGGAGGAGGCATGACCTTCGGAACTAAACTTAAGATAATCAAAGCCTCCACGCTTGTCATGCCCAGGCACACCACTTAAACTGTAGCTCTCTCTCTCCCCCTCTCTCTCTTCCACTCTCCCCTATTCTCTTTTGCCGTGGGTTCTTCTTTTTCGTTCACCTCCTTACTCTCCTCTTTGTTGTATTGCTGTATTGTTCCTTGGACATTTTGTGCGTTGTGATTGATTATTACTTTTCTTCTTTCCTTTCTTTCTTATACCTTAAGACTCCTGAGGGATGCTCACGGTTGCGACTGTTGCGACTTGGTAAGTGATCGACCGCCCACTTAGTCTAACCTCCGCACTGAGCGCCATCTCCTCCGCACTTCTTCCTCAACTTGTCTCTCCGGAGGACCTCAACGCTACATGGCCCGGAAATTAAGTCACCAGAGGATCACATATGGTGTGTTGATTTTCTCCCCAGATTTAGTCTATTGATTTATTCTCTCGGTGGTGTCTTTGCTGCCTGGTCTTACACTTGTCTCACTTGTAGATCCTCCACTAACGATTGTTTTTCGCTCTGCTCAGTGCTACCTCTGCCTGATGCCCCTGGCGGTCATCGGCTGGGGGTCAACGGCCTAGCAATCGACACAGATAACTCTATCCTGTGAGCACCCTCCAACTCCTCGATTTCGGCGTTTCTGTCAGAATCCTTGCCGCGCCCTGGGAACGGTCGCTTTCCCGTCTTCCCCGGTGTCGCCGTCAACTCGGCGCTAACTACCGTCCGTGAAACAGATATTCCGCTGGTCGCGATGGTGTCATCTGCTCATGGGATCTAAATCTATCACTGAAGTCATCGTCCCCTCCCACCTTGGGCGCTTCGAAACCGGCTCCCACGACATTCCGAAATCAAGTCCAGGCGCACAGCCACTGGATCAATGACATTGTTCTAACGAAGAATAACTCGGCTCTAGTCTCCGCATCCTCCGATACTACTGTACGACTATGGCGACCGCATTCCGAATGCACGGAAGTCTCGGACCCTATCGGGAAACATGCAGATTACGTCAAAGCGCTGGCCACACCGGGGAGCCATGCCTCTTGGGTCGCATCTGGAGGTCTAGATCACAAAGTCTACCTGTGGGATTTGAATCGCGGTGGGGAAATATTGAATATTGACGCCTGCGGAGGGGATAGCACGGCTAAAGGGTCTGTATATGCGCTTGGGGCCGTATCTTCTGTGATCGCCAGCGGCGGTCCAGAGAGTGTGGTCAGAGTGTGGGACCCGAAATCCGGGAAGCTGATCACCAAATTTGTCGGACATACAGATAACATTCGAGACATTCTGGTAAATCGCGACGGGGATACGATCATGACGGCATCGTCGGACCAAACGATCAAGATCTGGTCCCTAACCGCCGGAAGGTGCATGCACACATTAACCATGCACAACGACAGTGTTTGGTCACTTTATTCGAATCACCCTCAGCTATCTGTCTTTTATTCGAGCGACCGGTCTGGCCTTGTTGCAAAAACCGACACACGATATTCGGCGGACATTGAGCAAGGTCTCTGTGTTGCAACGTTGCAAGAACACGACGGTGTAGTCAATGTCGTAGCAGCTGGAGACTACATCTGGACTGCGACGCCAAAATCCAGTATTAACCGTTGGAATGATGTGGATACTACTGCCGATATCGAGCCACCATCATCAAGGGAGCGAGAAACTGCGTCAGGTACTGAAGCCGCAACAACAGAGAAAACGAAGGCAGCAGATCATCGATCGAAGAAGATACCGTATGATTCAGTTCTTTTGCTCTCAAACACCTCGACGTTCCCCAAAGCAAGGGTGCCCGAAACTACCCAACCACACTCGAATGCAAATGCGCAGTCACCGTCATCCGAGATAGAGGACGAACTGGGGCTTACACTTCCTGTCCATACGCTGCCAGATGATACGATTGAGGGTCAGCATGGCTTGATCAAGCATTTCTTTTTGAACGACAGAAAGCGTACGTTAACGCAGGATTCTGCTGGAGAAGTGGTTCTTTGGGACCTTCTCAAGGTATGCCGAGTTGATTGAAGTTACTTGGAAGGGAAATCCCCATCACAGACCTCACTAATCAACGGCTTGTAGTGTGTACCGATTCAATCATACGGCAAGCGCCATATAGACGACGTGGCATCCGAGCTAAACACGATAGAAAGTATTGCACACTGGTGCACGGTTGATATTCGTACTGGAAGATTGTCTGTGATACTGGAACCAGGTCGCTGCTTTGATGCCGAGGTCTACGCCGATGAGGCTGAATTGTCAGACTATTCACAGATCCGTGACGATCAAAGGAGTACGTCTATGACCCCCGCCTTCCTCCCTTTGTCACCACCTGCTCGGGCTTATTAGCTAACAGACAAACCCTAGTCAACCTAGGCAAATGGATCTTGCGCTGGCTTTTTGCTCCACTGATAGAGGAAGAGCTCAAACGCGACTCTCAATATCGTGTCGATGCCCTCGCAAAGGCCGAGGAGCTCGCAAAACTAAATATGTCGAATACCTCCGCCCCAATGGATATACCCTTCGCAGATGGATCACGAAATCTAGCCACATCCTTCGACCCATCAATATCGTCTCTGAGGCCCGGATACGAATCTTTTGGTAGCCCCTCGACTCCAGGATTTGGAATAGGGTTTGCCAACAGCCCTGGATCTGTCGCCACGCCAACGCTTAACCCAAATACTAGCAATAATAGTCACCTGGGCACATCACCGGGAGAGTTTTCTGACTATCTCACATCTCCACCTACTGCTGATATGACGAGGAGCTCCCTGTCAGACAAGTCGAGTGAATATCTCTCATCACCTAGAGCCCATGGCCTACCTCCACTGGATACCGATAAGGCATTACCGACACCAGGGGAGCCGACACCAACAGCTCTTCCACAGTCACCGATGGAGCCTGATAAAGAGGAGCGGAAAAAGGGCAGCTCTTTGTTTGGAAAGAAGTTCAGAATGGACTTCCCGAAGAAGCTTGGACGGACTTCATCGGAAGTTAAGCCCCAGATTCAAGAGGAGAAGGTGGAAGAGTCCGACAAATCTTCAGTAAAGGAAGAGAAGGTGTTCGAAAACAACTTAGGCGGCTTCATTGAGCGTATCCGCTCTGAATACGATGAGCATCTATCTGCTCACCCAGGGCAAGAGTTGACACCAGCCTTCGCCCCAAGTCAGGAGAATGAAACGCCGGCACTGAATATACCGGACCGTGTTGCAGTACTGATACAAGAAGAAACCGGAGAAACTGCTGTGGCTTCTGATCTCTACCGAGGCAGTGTAGGAAGCATCCGGGGAGAGATCGATAAATTGGAGAAATCGATTCCTCTGTGGCTCGCCGATCTGTTACTCAAGGTATGCCATGCCGTCTCTTCCCGGTGGCCCACATGGCCTCTAACTTTTTTTTCCTGTAGAACCAAGTGCCTTTCAAGGAACCCGTCAAGGTCGCTTTTACGCTGAAACCGTATGATGATCTTTTGCCACCTGTTGTGAAGCCAGAGGTGTATGTAGAGAACCCGTCTACCATCATAATTGCCTCGGATGTAGCAAACTAATTGTCGTCTAGCAATGTCGCAAGTGGCAACGCAACCAACAATCGACTGAATGCAAACCGCATGCTACGAGCAAAGAAGATTCTTGCGTATGTGGCGGAGCGAATTGACCCACCGAACCCCGACGAACCCGAAGAGAATGCGATGAAGCCGGAAGAGTACTTGGAACTGTACTGTCATAAAGTTGTATGTTACATTTATGTTCGATGTAGTTGGAGAGGTCGCTAACGTTGACTAGCCGATACCCCCCAATATGACTCTGGCGACAATTCGCACTCATATTTGGCGTTCGTCGGGAGACATGGTGCTCCATTATAAAGCAAATGGAAAGAAGGAAATTCGAATGCCCGGCCCTAGTCAAGAGGATGAGAAAGACAACCTGAATGCTGGAACAGGTTCCCAGCCGCCTGCCGAAGCAGGAGGCATGTCTCAGGGAGAAGGTGGAAGTGCGCCTCCAGGGAGTATCCATTCACAGACAGCCTCTGGGTCGGCCTCCGTCTCGATCCATAATCCTTGATCCGAGTGGAGAGCCATAGCTTCTAATTCTGTGTACAGTGCTGGACATAGTGTGAATACCCACATGGACGTAAAGGATCATATGTATATATGCTGTTGATAACAGACACAATCAGGACAATGGTACTGTGTTTGCAATTCAATTCAAGTTGTAGAAGTTGGGAACTATGGATTGTAGTCACAGTTGAGGTCGATATAAAAATCCCCCGGAGCGGATCATCCGCGCCAAGACCTAACCCGCTGCTACTAGTATAAATTTATCCATTGAACATCCTCCGTACCACTTCTTTTACAACCGAACTCTAAACCCCGAGAAGGCTTGCTCGCGAATGAAATAGCCAGTGAATCTATGGCGGCGTCCTCTCTCCGGCGTCATATCGGCACACAAGCAATAAGTGCCTCGCAATCCCTGGAATCCTTCCAGCGAGTATGGCTCGGCTCCCGATTGTCACGGCCCTTCCCGCGCCGATTGGGTAAGTTGAGATCGCCGAAAGGCATCCAAGCGTAGGAACGATATATTCTCGTGCTAATAATCCATAGGGCTGGCAGTCAGTGGTGGAGCAGACTCCATGGCGTTAGCATATCTCAGTAAACAATGGGAAAGGAGTCGACCGAATGATATATCTGTCACGGCATTCGTCGTCGACCACAAAGCGAGAGAAGAGAGCACCCGCGAAGCTAATATGGTCTCACAATGGCTTCGAGACATTGGTATCTATGCTCCTTTATATACCCTACCCCTTCCATACCAAAGAAACGCTAACCAAAACACCAGGAATCAAATCCGAGATCCTCGAACTGACCTGGCCCGAAAGCACTAAGTCACCATCCAAAGTGACCGCGTTCGAGACGCATGCCCGCAGACTCCGTTTCCAAGCGCTGGGCAAAGCATGTCGAGACCGCCAGATCGAAGCCCTTCTAATGGGCCACCACCAAGACGACACCGTCGAGACGACCCTCTGGCGTCTCTGCACCGGAGCCAAAGGCGCCGGTCTAGCCGGTATCCCCCAAGTGACACGCATCCCCGAATGCCACGGTATCTACGGCGTCTCTGAGAGCGGGTCGTCATACACGATCCCATCGGGACCTCACCAGTCGAGAAACGACACCACCATCTCAACAGGCGGAATCCTCATCTGTCGCCCCCTCCTCTCCTTTCCCAAGTCCAGCCTTCTAGCAACCTGCCACGAACACAACATCCCCTACGTCTCTGACCCTACCAATTTCGACCCAACCCTAACCCCCCGCAATGCAATCCGCAGTCTCCTGGCTGAGAATAAACTCCCAAAGGCCCTCCAAGGCCCCTCCATTCTATCTCTGATCAACTCCAGCCAATCCCTCCTCCAGAACTCAACATCCCTATCAAACACTCTCCTCACCTCCTGCAAAATCAACGACCTAAATCTCCCCGCCGGAACAATCACCCTCACCTTCCCCTCAGCACCAATAGACCCAGCCTCCTTCCTCAACACAGTCACTAACAATACCAACACCAAAGCCAAAGACAACGACAAAGCAAACCAACGAATCCATCAAATCAAATGCCTCACCCTCCGCCGAATAACCGACCTCCTAGCCCCGTTCCCAGAGAATCACTTCCCTCTCCGCAGTTTCGAGTCCTTCACGGACCTTGTGTTTCCACCCCAGGACCAGCCGGACCCTAAACGAAGGAAACCGTTCACGCTGGGCGGGGTAATGTTCCAACCCGTGAACACTGCGTGTACTGAAGCAGATCAGAGGGTCGAGGGTGGCAATACCTGGCTCTTATCCCGTCAACCGTTCATGCGGAACCGGTTACCTACTCTGCGGGTTGCGGTTCCGATTTCAGGGTTTTCGGCGGGTGATACGTCCTGGAGGCTTTGGGATAATCGGTTCTGGTTCCGGTTTGGCATTGTCCCCGAACAGGGTTCCCGTGGAGCTGAGGTTGAGGCGACTCAAGATACTTCCAAGGGGGAGGTGATATCCTTGCTTGTTCGTCCGTTTCAGCCATCGGATCTTCAGGTGATTCGAAGGGTTGCGGATGAGCGGGGAGGGCGTTCGGAGAAGAAGAAAAGGAAGATGAATCCTGCTTTGGTTGGATTATTGGATCGGCTTGGACAGGAAGCGCCCGGACACACTCGGTTTACTCTTCCCATGGTGGTAGTTGAGAAGGGTTCTGGTGGACTTGAGTATGACTTGCCCGTGGGGTTGCCGACGTTGGATTTGTGGTTTCATGGGATGTGGGAGTCTTTACAGATACCCGGGAGATTACGGTGGGATTGGATGTATAAGATGATGGACAACGAGCCGGTGAAATTGATGGGCTGGCTGTAAACTATTGGAGTTATACTACATTATAGAAGGAGAGTGAAATATGACATAGTGGAAGTGGTAAGACAGGAGGAATACAAGTGAAGTAAAGGTGGTAACTGAAGGACCAAAAAAAAAAAAAAAGAACAAAGTAAGAAAGGAAATGAAAAATGACCGACATGTAAACTCCTATGGCTACGCTATCTCAGTGCAATTGAAGTGGCCAAAAGGGGACAAGCAAAAAGAACGAAGACATCGGATACATGAAAATAGCCAAGAAGATCTGCATCGACTCCGAAAGGAAAAGAAAGAGAGCATTTATCGACATAGTAAGGAGGGTGCTGTACGAAAGAATGGAAATAGAAAGTGATTTTCCTGAACCTCTCCAACCGAATCCCCATACCGAGCAGTCATGTTTCTTCCTGGACATATTCAAAGGCTGCGTTGACGCCGTAGACCAACAGTAATCGAGCATAAAGTAATGGAAAAGGAAAGGGAAAAGGAACGTCTGTCTTATAGTAAATGCGTGTAACTCGTGTCCAACCGATTTTGATTTTCGGAAAAGAGCAGGTAAGAGGTAAAGAAGTATACTTCCAAGGCCAGAGTCATAATTTGATCGTCATTCACTCGCCTTCAGTAAGGCCACCGCGGCTTGTTGAGCTCTCAGGCCTCCAACCTCTCGCTTCAGTCGGAAATTTTCTTTTTTCAAGCGGCCAATCTCCTCTAGTGCTGAAGAGAGCTGGGATTTGAGTGCATCTTCAGCATCTCCTGCTCGCACGTCTTTCGCAACCTTGCTCAGCTCCGAGTTGAACCGGTCGTAAAGGGCTTCATTCTCAGCGCTGGCTTCACGATATAGCTCGTCAAGCTTTTTAGCTCGTTTCTCGCTAACCACGAGGGATGATTCCAAGTCTTTCTCAATGGCAGATGTCCGGCTCTTGAACTCTGAAGATAGCATGTCGAAACGCATCTCGAGGTGACGAACACGTGATACGAGGGCCGCATTGTTTGTTGGCGAGAAAGGCTCATCCAAGTGTTCAGAATCTTGTCTTGCATGTCTGGTTTGCTGTGGTGGTGCGATCTTGAGCGCTCGTAATTCTTCACCGATAAGGAATAATTCGTCCCTCAGCCCCAGCTGTGCCGCACTCTGAGCCTTCTTTTCGTTCTGAAGACGATCTCGGAGCTGTTATTGCCGGTTGTATTAGTAACTTTCTTAGAGAAAAGAACCATAAAAAAAAAAAAAAAGGCCGTGTACCTTCTGTGGACTCTGCATCCGCAACTTTTGCGGCTTCTGTACCGATGCACCATTAACGGGGAGTGGTCGCTCCTTCAATCCAGGCGCCCTCGATGAGGGTACGCTCGTTGCTCGTGACCTTGTCTTAGAGTCTTGCGTAGGTGATACCGTCGCATCTCCTTTCTTCCGCAAAGAGGCTCCGCGCTCAACCTGTGACAGCTTTGGGTCAATGTTTTCTTTTCGGCTGGGAGTGGCAGGCCGCGTCGGTGATCGTCGGCTGGGCGAAGTCATCCGAGTAGGTGAGCCGCTCTTAGCTGGGGAGGTGCTTCGTTGCGTAGAGCCTGAGCCGTGGCTGGTCTGTGGGCGAGTCTGTTTGGTTGGAGTAACTACGTCGGAGGACGACCCTGCGGTGGTAGGCCTCTCTTCCTGCTCTGGAGATGCGGCTGACGTCTCCGTTGATGCCGTGCCTGGCCTTAGGTCTGACAGAGAGCTTCGCCTCTTCCTCCGCACCTTCACCACTCCATTAGTTGGCATTTCTTGAATTGAGGACAAAGATGCCGTCTCCTCCTGGGAGCTCCCTGGTCTTCGAAGATACTCTTGTGATGTAGACGCCCCGGGACGGTCACGCGAACCAGGCCGCAGGAGATGGCCTAAGCTCGTGTCGATGTCTATGGATTTTGAGCGTAGCAAAGAGCCTCTCGGAGTGCCTGGCTCTGAATCACCAGAGCCTTTGCTTTTGCTTAAGGTCCTTAAGATCGACGACACCTTGCTCTCCCCTTCCGATCGTTGATTCTCCCGGTGCAGACTGAAACCAAAACGCTTTCGGAAGGACGACGCGTTAGAGCTTATTGAGCCGATCGTTTGCGAGACGGGTTTACTTTGATCGCAGTTTAAAATACCTTCCAACGATGCCCCCCCAGGGATGAATTCGTCGAATAGGTTATCGAAATCGTCGACCAGTCGATCCAAGAGGGAAATGTGCTGCATCGGATCTCCTTCGGCCGTCAGAATCTCTGCAAAAGCGGCCGTTAGAGCACCTCGGTCACCATCGTTTCCAGAGGCATCAAGTAACTCTGCAAGTAATCGCACCAAGGAGGCTAAAGCGCGACGATTCTGTGGACTCATCTCCCCTATGGATTTCCGGAAATTTTCTTCGAATTCGCGGGGATACATGGTGTCGAACTGATTTTGAAGTGACTTTAGTGACGAGGATTCCAGGACTGGGCCCATTTGCTCCTGCCATGCGTTTGCCATGAACGTCTCGAAGGCTACGAAGAGTGTGTCGACGGGTACTTCGGCTGCTGCCTGAATTTGCCCGGGATCTTCTAACAAGACATTATACAGCTCATTGACTGCAGCTCGATCAACGTTATCTCTCCCCCGAAGTGTCCGTCCAACGATGTTCCCACTGCGGGACTGAAGGGAGAGGACGTACGCAGCAAAGCTTTGTTCCAAGACACTGAACGGGCTTTCTGAGCCTTTCGAAGACGTTGTTCCAACAACGGAAATCTTGGGTAGGGGGTCTTCCTTCTTCTCTTCTTTGCCTGGGAAAACCGAAGGTAGTGTATTGGAACGCGAGACGCTGGATCGTGGGGGTGGCATCTTGGGGAATTCACCCAATAGAGTTGCGGAAGTCGGTGCCTTGACGCTTGGTGTGCCTTCTCTTGATTGACTTCCACCCAGAAGACTAGAGAGCAGTTTGGAGGGCGACGGAGGGCGAAAGGTACGAGGGACCTTGAGCTGCGCTATGAGATGGCCCGAAAGGTAGCGAAGTATGTCAAAATTGGAGAGAACAATTGACTCGGTCATGGTCCGGTTTTGGGTGCCATGCAACGGCAAAAGCAAGTTCAGGACTACAACCGTCAGCGAAAGACCAATACTTGCCCAAATGGGGTGTTCTTCATTGCTGTATACTTACGGCGTTTGGAGAGCACAGGAACAAAGCTATCCACTGTAACAATATCTGAGGAAGCGATGCCAACTACTGAGTCTATGTCCACCCGATACTGGTCTTCACTCGACAAAGATACGGAAACAATCACCTCCAAATCTGGGCTGTTCAGCAGCTTGCTGCGGAGCGGTTTTGGGATGTCAAACTCAACCCTCACTTTCGACAGACCGGTTCGATTCACTGCAGCACTCGGTTCCTCCTCGAACACACACGCCAAGATACCGATATTTCCAACAGTTCCTGTGGGACTCCGAAGAGACCATTTGCCGCTTTCTCGCTCACTCTCGGAGAACCTACCCTCGATTTTTGCCTTCACAATCTCTTCAATCACTCTACTGGCCCGACCCTCATACATGGAAGCCGGTTCCAAGGCCAGAAGATCAACAGTTGTATTTTGGTTTGGACGCGACTTCACCGATGTAGGTGACAGGAACAAGATCCGCCCGCATGTGGATTGCATGCAACGTACAGTGTGGAGATCATATACCTGCACAACACGGATATCGGTGGAAGGTAATGAGCTACCCGGGCCATTGGCAGCTGATGCCGCGTTGTCCAACTCAGCCAACAGACCACGCGCTGTTGTCTTGCTGCCAGGGATTTTTGATAGCAGTACCAGGCAGTTCTTGTATATTAACATGATGCCAGCGGTAGGATCGGGGGCCGGGTTGTCTAGCTGATATGGCGGTGATAGTTCGTAGAAATCGACCGCGGTTATCAGACGACCAGTTGGCAATATGGTTGATGGCCAGCCATCGACTAACTCCTTCAGTCGGCGGAAACTTTGATCATGGTTCGTCGATGAAGGATCGTCTAGCGAACATATGTCCTTGATGATGTCTCGCGCTTTCAGGAATGGTCGGACGGCGGGGTGTATCAAAGGAAGACTGCTCGTCATCGTGTCGATCAAGAGACTGTAGCGGGGTAAACGTTGGACAGGTTCCATCAGCAGTGACCGTAGTAATTGCTCCCCGGTGTCATGGACACGCCTCGAAAAGCTGGATTGTTTGTCCCTCATGAACGAATTAAGCGTTTGGGTAAACCCTGTATGGGCGCGCATATAGTCTGCATAAGGATCAGAGAATCGGGGGAACCACTCAATGAGGGCGTGCGCGAAGGCGACTGCCCCAACTGCATCTCCCCCTTCCTTCAATGAATGTCGTTGCGATACAGACGACAAGAGTTCCGTATCGATTGTGATATCTTCAATGGCCTCTTTCTCCGTTTCTTCAAGTACCTGACGTATCACTTCTAAGAAACCCATATTGACGTCGAGAATCTCATTAAGACAGGGGGGGAATAGAGTGGCCAGAGCAGCCTCGTCAGGGCTCGTGCTCGATGGCGCTCTTCCTTGAGCTTTCAACCGGTACTCCTCCGCCACATGGCGCACAAGAGTATAAAGTTTGTTCACATATCTCTCCTCCGTATCCACAAATTCACACATCTTTAGACGGAAGTCTTGTTTCTGGCTTTTGGTGAACACTTTAGACTTGCTCACATTCGTGGGTTGCGATGGCGCTCGTTTTAGCCGCGACGTTGGCAGGAACATCGGCGCCCCCAAGCCGCGGATGAGAGACGTATATTGCCCGTACTGGAGATCTGGAGGATCCTCGATATCAGCGTTGTCATCGTCAAGGCCCTCGTTGTCGGGCTGGGAAGGAGGCTGGATAGTTCCCGGTGGAAGCAAAACGTCGATGTCAACCCATGGAACCTTGCGTTCTTGAAAAGCGCCCCGAATATCGCGAAGTATGTCTGATGTATGTTCCACCTTTACCATGCGATTCGCCAGATTCGCCGCATGCATCTCATCAAACATCTTGGGGATAGTTCCCCCTGCTTTCCCCGCACGTGCTATCGCTTGCAAGCACTCCTTGGCGGGCTCGGACAGCTCTGCGAAGTACTTCAACATACTGACAGCAAGACCTCGACACACCTCATCACCTTGTTTCTCGCGGGGTAGATGATTGACTGCGGCATATAACGGCGCGGCGGGTGAAATGGTAATTCGCGGATAGCTCTGGAAGCCTGCGGGGGTCAAGATATGCGCCTGGATGCGCGAGCTGCTGACGGTGGCATTTGCTGTTGCGACGGGGCCATAGAAGACGAATATGGACGACAGGCATGGATCGGAAGCCTGATAGAGAGTAAGCTGCTCTAATGGCAGGTCCGATGGGGCGTTCGTCACGGTCGCCATGGCGGCGGTTGAGGAAGCCGAGATCGCGCGCAACGGGGTATTGGAAAGTACGAGGCAGGAGATAGAGGAAGTGAAGGTCGATAAATTAGACGAGTCGATTAAGAAGAAAAAAAGCGAGTAAAGAACGAGAGTCCGCGATTTACAAGATATAAGTCACTAAGTAAAAGACCGAAGCGGTTTCAAAGAATGACACCAAATTAGTGAAAGTTGCATCCAGTCCCAGTCGTCTAGAGAAAGAGAAAGCGACACCGGGCAGGAAACATAATAATCAAGTCGCAAAGGAAATCACAGTAGCGAACGATGGCCCTCATGCAGTCCACAGAGGAAGCGAAGGATTACCCTCCATGGGAAAGCAGAGTGAGGTGATAATCGCAAGACGCGTTTCTTCGTTGGCGCAACCCACACGGGCTCATGAGACCGAGGGGTTGTTGTTTATGTGAGTTGTGAGTCGGGACTAGCAGATACAGTGGTTGTTGGAGAGACAAGTGTAAGGAAAGCTGCAGGTGATTTGCGCACATCAAACGTTAGCGACCGAAATCATATGCAGACCTGGAGGGGGGTAAAAGTGACGAGGGAGGGGAAAGTCGCAAGCTGAATCGACTAGTAGTCGGGGGAGGGGGGCCACGGGGGCAGAGCGAGCGTGAGAGTTGAAGTGGGTTCCCTCGTCCTGCGCGCGGGGGAGGTTTTTTCTTCCCCCTTCTCCCCTAGAGAGTGCTGCTAATAATAATCATAAACAATCAATTTATTTCATTTCCACTTACCCCTCAAGGAAACAGACGGGTTTGACGATAAAAATGTAGATTTCTATTTCAACCCAAACAAAACCAATCAATTTTGCTTTTTAAATACACACAACAGCTGACGATTGCTTTTAGGTGGAATTCGAGAGAAAGAGGGAAAAGAAATGGAGTACTGGTTAGTTTCCCCTCATCGATAAACACCTCCGTATCAACTCACCCTCGGACACGTGTTGACCCTGCTTTGATGCTTCACTACTTACCCAATCCAGCGCCGATTAATCTTCCGAGAGAAAAAAAAAACAAAAAAAAAAAAGAAAAGAAAAAGTTCCCAGATAGACATCAATAGCTTGCAAGGAATGAGTCAGAAACAAGAGAATGTTGAAACCCAAAACTAAGCTTGATGGAGTTGTTTAGGCATCATCTTGAAAGGTGGAGACCTGAAGCTCTAATCCGATTTAGCATCGATTTAACTCTTCGCCCTTCACCGCCTGGACTCAACCATGGATAAGATCCCGATTATCCCAGATCCATCCCGCTAGTCCCTGTTGTTCAATCGGATCTTTTTTTTTTGTTTTTTTTTTTTTTTTCTTTTTTTTTTCAAACGGCATTCGTAACAAACACCCATAGATTGGGTACAAGGAAATCTGATAACTGATCCCCCAACCCGATCGGGATGTTTTCTTCAGTACTGAGCTTCACGGGAACTCAAGTAAGGGCAGTAGGAAAACATCACTTTATTCTATATTAACCAGTTGATTGACAACAAATTACCTCCTATTTGCACTGGTTGCTCGTTCTTCCCCTTGCATTTATGTATTCCCGAATTAGAACTGACGGAAGTTACTCCAGCGACTATCTACTAGCGATCAGATAATATGAAGTTACCGAAAATCAATCCTAGTTTAGAGCGGTATCTACGTACTTAGGTACCAGGTTAACTACTACTAGTAGTAGTCTCTAGTCTATTCTATCTCAAGTAGTAAGGTAGATATTGATCCATCGTTACTTGAAGAATACTACTAACCCTCAGTAATCAAAGTAAGCATTTACCATACCCTGTGGTATTGAGTCGGTACCCAACCGACCCTGCCTACCAGTATCCCCCGTACCGGAAAGATTGATCATTACCGTACCCCGGAGGCCCAAAGGCTTAGGCTACTAGTACGAAGAGCAATACCATGCCCCCACTAAACCGGATCAGGTAAGCAGGTCAACTCCGCCCGGAGCAAGCAAAAGAAGACATGTTGTTGTGTTCCGCTTGACTTTGTATCACGACGTCCCCGGCCTCCCTGTCTTTCCTTTCGTCTCAACAAGGGGAAGGGCCATGTTCTGATATTGCTCGCTCGTTGGGTAACCTGAATCCCGCCATTCGCTTATCCCCCCACCTCTTTGCCTTCCCTCACGACCGACATGTCCTCCTCTTTGCCCATTGCGGTCGATCCGGTCGCGTTGGTGACTACAGAATGTATCACCGTCACCTCGGCTATGCGCAAACATGCTCGCTGGGCTCATTCGTCAGTGTCAGCCATATTAGGCGGCAGTGCAGCCTCTCGAGTCTACGATCGTGATACATCTGCTCCCCCTAGCCCCCGCAATGGTGCTTCAACGTCTCGCCCCAAGTCTAGGCCGTCGGCCGTCGATGAAGATCACGCCCTGGCGAATCGATGGGGTCTGCGGGGAAAGAAGGGCAAGAGCATGCAGGACAATCCACTTATATCTGCATTTTCACGACTACGGAGTGATCTGAAGGATTGCAGAGACATTCGGACCTTTGATACACCCGCTTTGCTTCATCCGTTCCTACAAGTGATTCGTTCGTCGTCGACCTCTGCCGCAATCACCTCTTTGGCATTGGTCGCGCTGACCAAGTTCTTTGCCTATAACATTATTAACCAGGACTCTCCGCGGCTGTCCATGGCGATGCAGCTCCTGTCCGCCGCGATCACCCATTGCCGATTCGAAGCCAGTGACTCTGCTGCGGATGAAATAGTCCTCCTGAGGATCCTGAAATTGATGGAGGGTATTTTGTCTCGGCCGGAGGGAGACCTGCTTGGTGATGAGAGTGTCTGCGAAATGATGGAGACCGGCCTAAGCATGTGCTGCCAAGTCCGCCTGTCAGAAGTCTTGCGGAGATCGGCTGAGATGGCGATGGTCAACATGTGTCAGGTTCTCTTTATGCGACTATCACACTTAGACATACCAACCGGTGCGGATGTTCCGAACCCGGCCGTGGGCGATAGTGAGCCGACCAATCTCAAAATGGACCCTTCGGTCGATGGGAACACAGTCACCTCTCAGCATCTTTCTGCCATGGGTGCGGACACTGCGACACCAGATCGTGAACGTAGTAGCGGGGATGAGCCTTTAGAGCAAGAGCTCAGTGGAACTGCGGTTACAGCTCCCCCCAACCCGCAGGACGACCTCGGGAATGAAGTCAAGCCGTATTCACTAGCTTCTATCAAGGAGCTATTCCGTGTGCTGATCGACCTTTTGGATCCCCATAACCGGCAACATACAGACCCGATGAGGGTTATGGCGCTAAGAATTATTGATGTGGCTCTGGAAGTCGCGGGCCCTTCTATTGCCAGGCATCCTAGCTTGGCTACGTTAGCTCAAAATGATCTCTGCCGGCACCTCTTCCAGCTGGTCCGATCTGAGAGCATGCCGATACTAACCGGGTCTCTCAAGGTCGCTGGTACATTGCTGTTGACCTGTCGCTCCGCCTTGAAACTCCAGCAAGAACTATACCTTTCATACTTGGTGGCCTGTCTCCATCCACGGGTTGAGATACCGAGAGAGCCGGGTATTGATCCGGCCCTCTACAGTGGAGTACCACAGGCGCCTAAGCTGGTGAAACCCTCCCCCTCACAAGCTACTAGTGGAAGATCCACGCCTGTGCCAGTGAAGGATAGGCAGAAACTAGGCCTGGAGGGGGGTTCCAGGAAACCCGAGGCTCGAGAAGCCATGGTGGAAAGCATCGGCGTGTTAGCAAGAAGTCCGAGCTTTATGGTGGAACTATTTATTAACTATGACTGCGATGTTGACCGGGCAGACCTTTGCGAGGATATGGTCGGGTTGCTGTCACGGAGTGCCTTCCCCGACTCCGCCACATGGAGCACGACCAACGTGCCGCCACTCTGCTTGGATGCGCTTCTGGGCTACATACAGTTCATATTCGATAGACTGGATGACGAACCGGTACATGAAGGCTTTCCGTCCATCGAGCTCCTGAGGAGCCAGCGTAGAACGAAGAGGACCATCATCCACGGCGCCCAGAAATTCAACGAGGACCCCAAGGGCGGAATCGCTTATCTTGCAGCTCAGGGTGTCATTCAGAATCCAGATGATCCGGCTTCGGTGGCCAAGTTCCTGAGACAAACGACGCGCGTCTCGAAGAAGATCCTGGGTGAATTCATCTCCAAACGAAACAACGAGCAGCTTCTGGATGCATTCGTCGATCTCCTCGATTTTTCAGAGAAGACGGTAGTCGATGGGCTTAGGGATCTTCTTGGTGCCTTCCGTTTGCCTGGCGAATCCCCTCTTATTGAGAGAATTATAACAACGTTTACGGAGAAGTTCATGCAAAAAGCACAGCCTTCGGAGGTTGCTGATAAAGATGCATTGTTTGTCCTGACGTATGCCATTATCATGCTGAACACAGAGCTTTATAACCCCAACGTCAAGTCAGCCAATCGCATGTCCTGTGCAGACTTCTCAAAGAACCTGCGAGGAGTCAACGCAGGAAAAGACTTCGCTCCCGAGTTTCTTCAAGAAATTTACGACTCTATTAAGCAGAACGAGATTATCTTGCCGGATGAGCATGATAATAAGCATGCATTCGACTTTGCATGGCGGGAGTTGTTATTAAAGTCAACTACTGCTGGAGACCTGGCAACCGGCGAGACAAACATTTATGACGCGGAAATGTTTGAAGCGACCTGGAAACCCGTTGTTGCAACCCTTTCGTACGTCTTTATGTCGGCCTCTGACGATGCTGTATATTCTCGTGTCGTCACGGGCTTTGATCAGTGCGCCCAAATAGCTGCTCGTTATGGACTGACTGAAGCATTTGACCGCATCGTCTTTTGCCTCGCTTCCATCAGCACGTTGGCGACAGACAAGCCTCCAAGCACTTCTCTTAACACGGAGGTACAGGCCGGGAAGAAGAGTGTCATGGTCAGCGAGCTGGCCGTGAAGTTCGGAAGGGATTTTCGAGCCCAACTGGCTACAGTGGTTCTCTTCCGTGTTCTTGCGGGCAACGAAGCTACAGTGCAACGAAGCTGGGAGTATATTGTCCGGATTCTCAGCAACCTGTTCATTAATTCCCTTATTCCGCCATTCGGGACCAGCCTCAATGCTGAACTTGAGATCCCTCCGATTCCCTTGCAGCCCCCGTCACAAGTTGTGGACCGCGATGGGCGAGGAAACGAAACCGGGTTACTCTCTGCCTTCACATCTTACCTGTCCAGTTATGCGGCCGATGATCCCCCGGAGCCGTCAGACGAGGAGCTTGACAATACCCTTTGCACCGTGGACTGTGTGACAGCGTGTTCGATTGATGTCGTTTTGGCTAATATCAAGTGAGTAGTACCCTTTGCCCCTGTCGGTACGATAGTCATTTCTAAGAACTATTAGGTCACTGCCCTTGTCGACGGTTTCCACAGTCGTGGAGACGGTGTTGACACTCCTACCTGAGGAGTCTGCTCCAGCAGTCATTGTAGTAAAGTCGGAACGACCGTCGAGGTCGGCAAATGGCAGGCTCCACGCTAACAACTCAAACTACGATCCTGGAATGATGTATCTCCTGGAACTAGCGACCATCCTAGCCCTTCGTGATCAAACAACACTAGAGGCAGTTGGGGAGAGACTACTGGCTTCCTTGCAAGCCTTCATGCGAGATGCGAGAAACTTGCACTCCCTGGCTTTGTCACGAATAATTTATTATATGTTGAACTTGCTACGATTGAGCTATGTATGACCGGCCCCAGCCCTTGGCTTTCCCCGCCGGGTTCTGACTAATTCTGTTATAGGATCAACCCTTCATGCGGGTTCCTGTCATTCTCCACGGAATATCAGGCTTTGACCAGGACATTTTGGAAAGTGTTGCTGTTCCCGTGATTGAAGGGCTTTCGCGTTGCGTTTCGAATGCAGGCCTCTTAGGAAATGAACTCACTATTTCGCCTGATTTCTGGTCAATCCTCCAGCGGCTGCATCAGCACAAAGAGGCCGCTCGTTTCGTTTTTGGTCTACTCCAAACCATTGTGAGCGCGACGCCACCCATCATCACTGGGGATAATTATGAGTCCGCTGTAAGCCTTGCAAACGATTTCATTAGCGCAGGTAGCGTGGGCTACCTTGAGGAACGGCAACGAGACGCACACTCTCGCCGCTCTAAAGGTGCTAAGCCGTCAAAGTCCAGGTTTGTCTCCCATCTTATGACCACTGAAACCAACAAAAGTTGACAGATGCCAGCAGTGAAAATGAAGTCGTTACTCGTGGATTGACAGCCATTAGTATGATTTATAATTTAAGCCAACGGGCTCCTGCGCTTATTAAGCAGTCGCATCTTGAAGAAGGCGAAGGTTTGTGACAACTTTCCCGTGCACCGTATATATCCGCTAATACTCGCCGACAGCCTGGTCCGCATATTGGTCTCCGATTTTCCATTCTTTGACGGCACAGTGCATTAACCCTTGCCGGGACATCCGACACAATGCAGTATCGACTTTGCAGCGATCGCTCCTTTCAGTTGACATCGACTCATCCAATGAGAAAGAGTGGACCGCTATTTTCGAACAGGTCCTCTTCCCACTAACTCTCCGACTGCTGAAGCCGGAGGTCTTCCACTCCGACCCAATTGGAATGGGCGAGACCCGGGTTCAGGCAGCCACTTTGGTCTGTAAGATTTTCTTACGTTATCTCGATCAACTTCCGAATCCCAGTGGAATGCTCGACCTGTGGCTCAAGATACTCGATATCCTTGACCGGATGATGAATAGCGGCCAGGGAGACAGTATGGTAAGAAATCACCCCTCATTCTCCCTTCTGTCCTCCTCCCCCTCCTCGGATGACAGAAACGAAAGAAAATAAGACAAATCACTGACCCTTCTGCGTAGGAGGAGGCTATCCCAGAAAGTCTCAAGAATATCCTTTTGGTCATGGCTGATGGAGGCTATCTGGTTCGACCATCACAAGACGCCAACAAGGAGCAGATCTGGACCGAAACTAAGAAGCGGCTGGAAAGGTTTCTGCCAGATTTATTCAAAGACATCTTCCCTGAAGAACCTCCAGTGCAATCCACACCAACACCAACAGCCCCATCCCCAGATTTGTCGAAGGGCGACCTTCCCGCTGACGAACAGTCCACGGAGCACCAACCATCCTCGGATACCCCAGAAGGTAGTGATGGCAACGATGAACAAAAAGATGAGTAAGGTGGCTTTCTACGAGAGGGGCCTCTTACGAAGCAGCAGTCCACATACTATACAAATCGGGCATTTATAGCGTGGGTAGCCTTCTGTTTTCGACTACATGTAAATATAATACATTTGACCTCCAGTACGACGGACTTGCTCCTGGGGCAATGCATTGGCTGGAATTAGACGCATCGTTTTTCTGTTTGATACCTATCATGGGTGCTTGTTGTAATATACTACGAAAGAATGATTTCCGGTTGATTCTAACGACCACAGCATATCTTCATCAAATGGATTACGTTTCAATTCTGCATAATCTAACAATCTCTCAACCCCTAGCCCCACGACTGCGAAGCTCAAAGACGTAATGTTGGAATCCATGTACGTATCACGCTGACGGATGGTCTCGGGGGCAGATAAAGTATCTGTCTGATAAAAGCTCATATCAATTTCTCTCGACCACTCACTCGAAACTCAGTCTGGACTCACCGCGGATCTTCTGAAGAAACGCTCCAGCAGACTGACAGGCTCTCACCCACATTCTCCATTTTGCCATCTTTGAGGCCAGCCCCGTGAGCATGAAGAGATATGAATTCATCAATAGACATGAAACCATGATCTGAAACAGATGGGCTGGTGTTACTCTGGCCCTGGCATCTACTTGAAGATTCTCTGCATGAACCTACCACACCAGCCCATCCTAACCCCTCTACAACTCCCTTGGATGACTATTCGCCACAATGGATTCAACTCGAGCTCTTCGAAACTTGGTACTCGAGCAATCTCGCCGTCGCAGGTATGTTAATCACTGCGTGTCTTAACCCTCTGCCACCCCGAGTGACCGATTTCACCGTCCATGGAATCCCGACCCCGAACTCAATCACGAAAACAACATTAATATATACTAACGGATACCGGCTATAGAAAGCTGCGAGATAACATCTTGGGTATAAGTGAGTCTCTAATTCGTATTACAGTACAGGCACCTCGTGTTACTAACCATTGCTGTAGCCAAACCGGCCATTCGGTAAGCCCACCCCACTGTTATAGACGATTCTACAGGCATATTGGAGACTCGTTAACACCAGTCATTTTCGCACTCCAGCAGACTTGCTCGCCGTGGAGGAATTGTCCGCATGAAAAGTGATATTTATGACGAAGCCCGTAGGGCTATCCGTGACCGCCTGACAGAAGTAGGTTTCTACTTGAGTTGATTTGCCTTTTTTTTGGGGTCTTTAATACATCCCCTTGCTATACTTCTATGGATTGTTTTCATTGTTCTTTTGCTAATGATATGAAGATCTTGAGACAGGTGGTATTAATTCTCGAGTCATCCGACGTCCATTCTCATCAGAGAAAAGTAAGGATTCTCTGTTTTTTTTTTTCTCTCTCCCTTTGTACAACAACCACAAAAAGAGAAAAAAAAAGGCATGATAAAGGGATAAAGATCATATCACATAAGCTAACTATTTGTTTTCTGAAAAACATAGGTTGTTACTACCCGTGACGTGAGTTTTTGGTTGACATGATCAAACTCATGACGTGTAGATGCTAATTTAGTGTTGTGTATCGAAAAGGTCATCTATGCCTTGAACAGAGTAAGTCTTTCTTCATTCTTAGCATTATAGAATAGATGTTGGCAGCTGAGCCACTGGGTACAGCTTGGGAGCACATTGTATGGGTTTTGACTCAGGATGTTGATACTCAATCGGTGTTGTTTGGTAGGAATGCCTTTTGAGCATGTTGCTAGATTTGAGACAGATCTATGTATTCATGAACGAATGATTCTATGGTTTCAACTAAAGTACAATCTAGATAGTCAAGGAAACAGGAGAGAGGGATGCAGATAGCAAAAAATGAATGGCAAACAGATATAAAACAGCGAACAGAAACAGAATACGTTATCCCAAGATTGACAAGAACGTATCCGCCTGTGGCTCCGAGTATATCTTATGACATCGAAGTAGACAACAAGGAGCGAAAAGAAAGAGAGAAAAAAAGACGCAGTAGATTAGAAATTACCTGTCCTCCAGCTTACAAACTCTCCATTCAAGCATCAACCATCAACTGCTCCCCTTCATCCAGCAAAGTAGTCACCCTGGACAAGTCCGAGATTACCTTATTACCGTGTCCAACCAGTAAGAGTTTCTCAGCGTTAGCTGGTAAGCCGAGGTATGTGGGTGGTTCTCTTTCGGGAAGTCGGTTGACCCACTCAACAAAGTCCCGGATACCAGTTGTGCCGGGGAGGGTCAAACATTCGTCATTCTCGACGCCGGACACCAGTTTGTAATCGTCCTCAAAAGCCACTGGGGTGAAGAAGGTGTTGACCAAGATTTCCAGTTGCTTGAAGTCGCCAACATCATCGACTTTTCCGCCGTATGTCTCGGTCACAAGAGTGCGGATCATGTCCCATGGGAGTTTCTGAGGTGCGACGTTGGATCGCTCTTGGGCAACGCTGTCAACCCAGTGATCGATGATAAAGGCGCAGCATTCATACTAGAACGCACAAGTAATGTTAGCTTTGTTTTAATGGTGTGCATGAGGAACAACTTACGTCGCTATCATTAAACTCCCAGAAGCCCTTCCAACCAAGGTTAGGAGCATAACGAAGTCTCTCCTGAACAACGGCGTGCAGGAAGCAAAGCAAAAGATAGACACGAGCCTTCTCGACTGGAGGTTTGCCAGCCCTTACGGACAATGAAGACAACGAGTCCTTCATGTTTGCACGTACACCGGCGGGCTGCTCGTACATGAGTACGCGGGAGGCACGGATGAGGTTGACAGGGATCTTAGGGCTGGACTCCATCGAAAGGAAAAGCCTAAAGTCTTTGTGGGGCTTGAGGGAGTCAAGCCGCTTCTCAAGGCTCTGCAGCCACGAGGGTGCCAGGTGTACATTCTTGATCAAAACCCAGGTTCCGGCAGTAGCGGCATTGCTGATTGCCTTATCGGCGCTCTTCAGACCTTCATCAGAACCCATAGCTATGTTTGCACAAGTCGCCTGCATGCGCTCAACCAGGGCATCGACCTTGTAACTAGCGTCGAAACCAGGACTGGAGCTAAGAGAGATCGGAGTGGTTGCAGTCACTTGATCAACGATATCCTTCAAGTCGGTACTTCCTTCGAACAATTCACGACCAAAGACGGTCTCAACGAAGCGCTCGGCAGTCGGCACAAACCTATCCATTCTACACAGCTTCACAAGTAACAATGATCGGAGTAGCCGGTTAATAGGCTCGGTATTCTCTTCCCAGACGGCCGGGACAAAATTCTCTGCGAGCTCTTCGCTGAAAAATTGGTCCCATTGTTCTGTAGGCACTTCTGAGAACTTCGATTTGAAAATTGTCATGTTGGAAATCCTGCTCATCACTGGATCTTTGAGCTCAGGGGTTGTTGATAGATCAGCGCCCTCTGTTGATTCATCGAGAATAATGTCGATAATGTCTTTCTCCATGGGGTATGGGGCGGCTTGTGCTAGGAGCATAGCCAGTGTGATACGATCCTTCTGAGCGAGTCCCAGGGAAGTTCGCTGGTAGGTTGTGATGAACAGATCCCGGAGAATGATCTGGACTCGCGCGGCATGGTCCTTCTCCTGAGCGAGACGTTTGTTGTGATAAAGGACAGAGTGGAAAATATCAACAAAGAACTGAAGAGAAAATTGGTAGAAGTGGTTTACATGGTGTAGTTGTTCCAATACAGCAAACACGGCGCTACAAGAGCGCGCGATAATGCTGTAATTGTGCGTGATATTCTCCACTTCAGTCATTACACCCTCAGTCTCCATCATCTTCTTCGAGATCTCCGCTGCCTCGTTTTTCAGGGTCTCGAGCGTCTCGATAACATTGTCATCATCCAGTATGTTACCACGGGACTCGTTCAAAGCCTGCAAGAGCCTCTTCTCAAGTTGGCGAAGATGAATCTTGAACTCTCCTTGCAGTTTGACTAGGTCGGTTCGTCGCGCGTCAACATCAGGCCGTTCAAACTTCAAGACTTCATTAAGAGATTGGGTCTGCAAACTGCTTTGAGTGACTGTGAAATTGACAAAGGTTGTCCGACTGCAGACGTCTGGCGGGAAAGTAGCAGACGGATCTCTTGTTGACAGGAAAAGCTTGAATGAAGGTGAGAAGTCAATCTCCTGTTTACCGAGCTGTATGAGGACACGACCTCCAGTCTTCTGGTATTCCTTGTTAAGAACATGGTTGAGGATCGGGTCCAAATACTCGGCATCTTGGATGAGAATAGGATTTCCGAAACGGAGGGCGCTCTCTAATTGTTTGACAAATGAATCATCCAAAAAGCTGGTAACAGTGAGCTTCCTCTCCGTGCTTTCCTTCTGCAAGAATTCGGTAACACGACCAGAAGGATCAATGATCAGAGGGTATCTGTTGTACCGCTTCAGAACAATAGCGTTCTCCGTGCAAAGGTCATCAACAGGAAGTGAGTGGTCTTGCCAAGTTAAGCGCTCATCAGCATTCGAGAGGTACTCAGTGATCGGGTTGTGAGGCTTGAAGCTGATTCCGGATTGTACAAGTTGGTTAACCCAGTCATCAATCATAGCCTTCCGGAATTGCTGATCGTAGAATCCCGCGTAGGCGAGGAAGGCTGCAGCAATGAGAACATCACCAACGAGAGTGTTGATTTGTGTTTCAAAGGATCTGCTTCCTTCCTCCCATCTGGTGCGTTCAGATGCCAAGCTGTCGAGCAAACGAACGCTCCTGTCGACCTTAAACTGCACTCTAGACATCTCCGTCTTAATAGCTTGGGTTTCACTAATGAGGGCGGCGTATTCCGCTTTGTATGTGGCGATACTGCTTTCGAGATCCTGGATAGTATTCTCAATGGCCTGCGCTTCGGCTTTGGTGTTCAAGGCCTTCTCTTCCAGTTTGCCCACCTCTTCACGCAAAGGTCCGACGCGATCCAAAATCTCGGAATAGTTGACCTGAGCTTCAACCCATTGAACTAGGGGACCACAAGCCTTACTGGCTCTGTTAACTCTTTCGTAAGTGAAATCCTCATTAGAAAGGAAATCATTCTGCATGCGAACTCGAAGGTTCCGCGTCATCTGTTCTTCGTTATTGTAATTGACAATGCTGGCAATGAAATCATCTCTTCGGACAATGCCTTGAATGGTCTTCCAGCTGTCGACCCTGTGACCAAGTAAGGTACATACAGCATCTAGGGCAAGACGGACACTAGCTGGGGGGTTGCCCATAGAACGGACTTCAGTAAGATGCTGACGTTTGATATTGCTCACGCTCTTCTTTGCTTCCAACACAGCAGGTTCGGCGCGAGCAAGATCATTGAGGACAACTTCCTTACGGCTGGCCACCTCTTGTTCCTGCTTTTCTAGGGCGGCCTGTACCTCGAGAGATGCCGCTTTGCGTCGCTCTGCTTCCTGTTGGTCCGCCACCATGCGCTGCAGTTTCTCATTTGCTTCTTTGTCTTTCTGTTCCAACTGTGTTTTCTTCTGTGCAAGACTGGCGCGCAGATCGCTGACTTTATCGACAGTATCCCTCAGTTTCTCGAGGCCGACATTCAAGTGTCGTTGCTGCTCCTCTAGGTCCTCACGTTTCTCGTTGAAGAGTTTCACATAGTGAGCGACAAAGTCAAGATAATGGCGAGGTGTGAGATATGTGGTCTTGCCTTGTTGCTTTTGCAGGCGCTGGTTGAATCGTTGCAGAGAGTGGTGTATGTAGACCATGGCGTTGACAATAGCATCCCTGTGAGATGCGGGAAGACTCAAGTCTCTGTAAGCCACAGGTATGCTATCAGGTGCAATGAAATTGGGTTTATCAAGGTCGACAGACTGTGTCAGTTCCGAACCGACTTGGAAGAGTGCCTGGTCCGACCAGTCGCCCATCCAGTTAAGCACGCATCTGTTGAACAGGGCAGGACTTGTAGCAGCCTTAGACGATAAGCCTTCTTCAGGAGGGTTCATGGTAAAGACCACATGCAAGTTCTTGACAATTTGCTGTGTGAACCACTTGTAGAGCTCTTCTTGAGTGTCAAGGAGCAGACCCTGACGCTGTGCGCCCTCTTTACATGCAGTCATCAGAGACGAAAACTCATCTCCTTCAAATAGACCGGGCACCTCCGCATTGGCTAAGAGGGTATTCATGCGTTCGAGGAAACCAGAGTCAAGAACGTTCGCTTCATCCATGATAAAGCAAATCTTCTCGCCTTTACAACCGGCCCTGCGGAGGACGATTCTCAGGTCGTCATCAAAATCTTCAGAAGAGTACTTTCCGTGCACCTTGATCTGGAACACCTTCAATCCATTCATCCATGCAACAAAACGAGATAGAGTGGTTTTACCACTTCCGCTGACACCGATGAGAATGAGATGACCTTGAGGCTGGCGGAAGACACGATCAATGCGCAATGCATGTTCCAGGACATCATTGAACAAGACAAGGGGAACATCGACTTCTTCCTCACAGAATGTCTTCAGACGTGCTTTCACGAAGTCACGCAGTCGCTCCTGCTCCACAGGCACGTAATTCTTGGAGAGCCAGTTGGAGAATAGAATTGGACCCTTCAGCGCTTGTTCCTCATCGATGGTGGGGAAATTATCAAGTGCAATGCGCCTAATTGCATCAGAGGTCCAATTTCTCTCTTCCTCAGTAACAAGTCGATCCTGGAAAAGACGCAAAGCCTCGTGCGCCCAAATCCGAACCAACCCTTCTATCGAAAGACTCTCGAGAGGTTTGATGGCCTCATATACACCACGAACCCATCGAGTAAGTTCACGAGGTGAGTACACGTAGTGTGGCTGGGTCTTAGCAGTAAATCTAGTTTGAGACTCCAGGTAGAACTGAACCATAGCTTTCGTAAGAGACTCAGAGTAACCGCGCAATAGGGGAAGGATTTTCAGAACAGCGGAGTTGAACGTGCCATAGATCTGCGTCAGTGAAATCTCTCCAGGATAGTCAACCATAATCAACGGAGAATGACGCAAAAATCTTTCCGCTAGCGGTGTACGGCCAGCATCAGTTGGAGGGTTACATGCCCCGACGAACTGAATCCGGTCCAAGGTAACCCATGTTTTGTCCGATGTCCTCCAGAAACCATTCTGTTCAACAAGCTGACGCAAAAATGTAATGGCACGCTGGGTTCCGTACCGATCAGGGGCTGGAAGGTTGATTTCATCGCAGAAAATGACCAACCAGCGACCGATTTGGTTCGGAGACATGATGACACCATTAAGCGTCTTCCTGTACTCACAATATTGCTCAAACGTCTTGATCAAAAGGTCAGGGGTTGTAGCGCTTGAAAAGTTAAGACCGACAACCTCCATGTTAGGAAGTTTGCGAAGAGCTGCAAACAATGTCATGGTTTTACCAGAACCTGGGGGACCGCAAAGCAATAATGGCTTATGCTCTGCAAGCCAGGAATAGAGGACATCTTCATGACGAACGGTATCGACTGTCGGGATCACTACATCGGTCTGCGTGATAGAATGAGTATTAATTTCGATGGTAGGGACTTGTGATTGCCAGCTAGACCACTCAGCCGTTGGCAATGTAACGTCAAAGTCGATGAGAGACGATGAGCCGTCAAGTGGCAGGTCGGTTGTAGACAGCGCGGATACAAATTGCCCGAATACCTGGCGATCGACCAGTGGACAGTCACCCGTGAATGACCATACAAGCGCAAGGAGCACCTTCTTAGAGATGTAGGATTCTATCTGCTCGGAGTCAAGCGGGAAATCGACATGCTGGATATTGTACTCTAGGACGTTCCTGCAAGCTTTGTTCAAGAGACTGAACAAGGTATTGAGGGCACGAATGTCGGTGAACTCCATGATATGGTTGTACTTTTTAGCCTCCTCAAGAGATTTCATAACTATGTCGCTGTTCTGCATGACGTGCTTGAGGACGTTGGAAACCATATCCTGCGCATCCTGGGTTTTGATGGCAGCTTGACCTGCAGGGGCGCTGTCGTCATCCAAATCTTCAAAGGTTCTTGTTCTAAGTGACTCCACGTAGTTGGAAATCATCATTGAAGGGGTGACGGTATCATCATTGAACCATACCATACCGCAACGACTGACTGTTGCCAGTGTTGCATACTTAAGTGTCTCGACTTCAAACATGATGCGTACATTTGGAGGTAGGTTCAGACGCTCTCCGTTAGGAAGGGTCAAAAGTTTGTTGTCATCAAGAACACTGTTAAGGTTCTCCACCCATTCGGGGTCAACATCTCCATCGAACACGATCCAATGTCGTTTCGTATCTTCACCTCGAAGGTTGTCGACTATCTTCCTCAAGATGCCTGTGAACAATCCATCAGTCCACTCGCGCGTGGTGCTGTCAAGATTGCCATAAAGCGCCTCCTTAGACATGACTTTTGAATCAATAATATGGGAGACGCCTTCCACGCCTTCAATTCTTTGCAAGGCCTGGAGGAGGATCTTCCATGCGGCAGATTTACCAGAGCCAGATTTACCAACCATCATAACACCATGATGGATGCTCTGGATTTGGTAGAGTTGGAGCGCCTTTGTGATCCACATCTCACTATCAACGTAGTGCAGTTCTTGGGCAATCTCACGAATAGCTGCTGTAAGCTTTTCATAGTTTGCAGGCACATACTCGACTCCAGCGAAGACATCGGATTGAATATCTAACATCGTGTCAACATCTTCCCGTACCAACTTGGGGGCGATGGTTTCCCGAAGACTTTGGACGATGATTTGGGGCTCGATGACTTCATCAGGACCCAGCTCGCCGTCATTGTTGGCGATACGAGCACGCTTGAGACCGCCCGAACTAACCAAAACACTCTTTAGAGCACGCAAGCCGAAATCGTAATGGGCTTGCTTTGAGAGTTGCGTGGAGCAGCGGTCGAAGAAAGGCACGGTCTGTGTTGACAAACGCTTTGCCTGCTTGAACCCTTGCGAGAAAAGCATAACCTCCGCAATTAGCTCCTTGTCAGGCTTGGACATCGCAACGCTTCTGAACAGTTTCTTCAGGTTATCAGGCAAGTTGGAACGTCCTGCATAACCCGGATTCATTGTGATGAAAATTCCTGTGTTAGGGTTGACTGATAGTTGTCTACCAACAAGCTCGATTTGTGCCTTTTCATCGGTTTCACCGTCCTTAAGACCGATTTGGATATTTTGGATCTGCTGGGAGACAGCTGAAAGGATTCGTTCTTCCAAACGGTTAAATTCGTCAAAACAGCCCCAAGCACCAACTTGACAGATCCCAAGGAAGATTCGGCCCATAGCCTGGAAGTCAAAAGTATCGTCACAGCAGAACACAAGAGTAAAACGACCAAGTTGAAGACCCAGCGCTTTAACTGATTCGGTCTTTCCGGTACCAGCTGGCCCGTAAGGCGAACCGCCCAGTCTTTGACATAAAGCTTGTGTGAGCGTCAAGAAACACCGGTCAGTAAGAGGTGTGCGGACAAGACGTTCAGGAACTCCGAGATACTCAAATCCGTAATTCAATTTCGCATTAGCCATATGGACGTAGAGACGCTGGAGGAAGTCACCCTCAGGTTGATAAACATAGCGCATCTGGAGCAACCAGAGGTAATGCACGGGGGTTGTAGCATTGGATTTGATGAGCTTTGAGATAACGTCTCGCTGATGGACAAACTCGGTGATCATATGCTCGCATTTCTTTCTGCCGATTGCGTCTAGGTCACCAAGAACAGTGGCAGCCAGAAGTTCAAGCACTCTAACTTGGGAATCATACAGTGCCGACAGAGTAGTTCCGCCGTCCTCCAAGGACTTCTGTACAGCATTAGTCCAAACCACTTGGCTGGCAAGAACGACAATCTGGGCGGGATAGTTGGCAAGGAAGTCGTTGAAAGCACTCTGATCAACCTCAGTAGCATGATACAATGGTTCAAACTGCTCAACTGCCTCAGCAAGCAACTCCGCCAGTGTTAATTTCATGTTGCTTTCAATAGCAGTAAGCCAGTCATTGATTCTAGGTGTTTTCACAAGGTTGATTTCTTTCTTCAGTCGAACTTCTTCACCCTCCTTGGAGGTGAAACCGATAATATTATTATCGTCATCCATGAGGACTCCTGACAAACCAGCAAACATTTTCTTGAAGTGCTTCGCCACACGGAAGATGTCATTGCTGTTGCCGATAATTTCGAGAAGGTCCTCGTCTCCAACAAAGTAAAACCGGGGGAATGAGACACGCTCTCGTTCGAGGTATTCACCCAATGCCTTCTGTATCTTGTTTAGCAGCTCAGCCAATCTCTCTAGCGACTTCTGCACACCGTTGATGGCAAGCACATCAAGCACAAAGGGTGACTTGTAGACCTTCTTCATCACAGCGAAGAACTCCGAGTTAATGTTCTGAAAGCGACTTGATTCCAGTGGAAGAAGATGTTTGATGTCCGCATTACCAGTGAAGACACCTTCGAGGTACACCCATTGTCTCTGAACGTCAATCCACACGTCAAACAAGACATGGACACGGTTCAGTTTGTCTTCCCAGGAAGTAGCTTCCTCCTCGAACTCTTTGAAGTATGGCGAATGTCTCATCGCTTGTAAAGAATTTAAGTTTTCGCTACACTTCGCAAATAGATCATCGAAACCACGGATTAGGCGACACTTATTCTGATAATTGACGAGATCAAGGGAGTAATTTTGCCACGTCTCTCGGACAGACTTTAAGAACTCCTCCAGCGCCATTTCACCCTGGGCTTGAGCAATGATATTACGGATTACTGACTCACTAGCAGTGAGTTGTAGATCCCATACATCACCGAGGGTCAAAGAGACAAGAGAAAACCTCTGTCCAGGTTTAAGCGATTTGTAGATTTTGTGCCAGTGCCTTTCCCGAACAGCTTCAGATTTCATATCAGAAAGCAAGGGGTTGACTTTCAGGAGCTGTCTGAGGACATTCTGAATATGCTCAAAAGCAGCATACTGGCGCATCCGGCTAGGCATCTCCTTTGTCATCTTTATTAAGCCATCAATGGACTGACGGAGTCTTCTTGGCTGCACACTCGTCCAGAGCATGTCCCTAAGGTCGTTCAGACTCTTCCAAATGGTTGATAAGGCAGCCCAGACCGACATGAAATCTTGAACTTCCTCAAGAATTGCCGGCAAAGCAGACTCAACTCCTGCTGGGAGGTCAAGAGCTTCTTTTGCTTTGGATACCATTTCATATTCAGATTGGAGACCCTCGAGACGCGATTGGAATGAGCTCAAGGTGCGAGAGGCTTCATCAGGCGGAATGGTGCCAGACACAGGCTTTTCATCATTCCACTGGGCGATGACTTCAGTGATCTTGTCACCAATAACTTTGTCCTCGGCAACAATTTTCGCACGCAGCCCCTCTGTTTGATCCTGGACGATTTTGCTCTTACGTGCAAGTAGTTCGTTTAATGCCGCCCACTCGCCATCGACATTTTCCACGTGAAGCCAGTCGCTGGGGAATTGATAACGTTGGCGTGCGAGTGTAGCCTGGCCTTGACGGAAAAGATCAACTTCAGGCTCCCATACCTTTGCCTTACGCTTGCACTGTTGCACTATAGTAATGAATGAGACCGCATGTGCGGTTGAAGCAGCTTCTAGAGTCTGTCCTTCCAGGTCACGCCGTGCGGAGGCAATCTCAGAATGTACTTCCCTCATTCGTCCACCGAGCTTGGACCCGAACCTCAACAGAATCTCGTGTTGCCATTGATCGTACTTGGCATTGACTCTTGTCTGAACCTGCTCGTAGTCTATCTTGATATTGCCGAACGATCTGCTTACTTCTGAAGTGTCGAAGGTAGCTCGGCTTTTCCTAATTTCTTGAAGCAACTGAAGCCATTGGGACAAGTCATCCCCGAGGATATCATACACTTGCTCTGACCGTAGATCCCAGAGTGATTGGAATTGCAGCCATTTATCAACGTAATCTGATACCTCCTTCAGTCTAGCCTCGATAGCATTGTAAACTTGGTTGAGCTCATCGGTACAATGCTGTGGGAGATTTGCAAAGCAAGATTCAGATAACTGTACCTTCTGCACGTCGATCGAGATTTGATAGCGGGATGATTTAATCTTCTCGAGGTTGCAAACGACGCCCAGCCAGCTGTCAAATTGCGAGAACCAGCTCGCACGAGCGAATTGCAAAGGCGGGTCAAGGTGGAGGACTTGATTCCGCATAGAAATCTCATGGACGAGCTCAGTGAACTCAATATTGTAAGCCAAGGCTTCTCCTTCGCCTGTAACGAGCTGCTGGCCTCCATTCAGTAGTTGGGAACTGTGGTCGCCATTCTTTGCTTCCTGGAAGGAACTTATCCATTCACGTATAGCACGGTGGAGGCGGTCGCGTAGAATGGCCTCGATCTTTTGGTTCAGATTTGCGACCCAGTATCCAAGGTTTACATAATTCTCCAAGTTCAGCTTATCTACGGCGACTTGGATAGCGTCCAGACGCTGCTTGAATGCCGAGGCATCATAAGGACAAGTTTTTAGTTCGTGGATAGCCTTCTGAATATTCTCGTTGATAGAAGCGAGGACAGCGGTCTTGGATTGGAGAACAGACGCTGATCCTGCAAATTCACGAACGAACTGGACATGTTTGCTTTCCCCCCTACTAGGTATAGTAGATTCAATAGCACCATTGGCCAACGCTGACTGCTTGACATGAAGCTCATACGAGTGAACGAACGACTCCCACCGAAGCGGAATACCTTTCACAATCATGCCTTGTGCATCATTCACGTATCCGTTGAGCAGGATTGCAACCTCTGTCATAGACGCAATGGACCGGTTGGTTTGCAGAAGGGTACGAACGCTCTCCATCAGACTGATAGCGAAGGGGTATACACGTTTAGCTTCCTTGGATATATTGCTAACAGCATGAGGTACTTGGAAATTAAGCCAGATAAGGTTTCTAACTTCCTTGAACAAAGCAATAACTTGAGCATCGAAGTTAACCGTCAGCTCCAGTGTGTTTCCTGCAGCTCGGTTGCGAACTATATTGAACAAGCGACCAGATATGGTGATGTGGCGTCTTTGCACATCATGTAACCATGATTCAAAGACTGGTCGAGTATCAAGCTTCTTCCGGAAGAGGTTGCTCTCAGCTTGAAGTTTCTGGCCTTCAGAGTGTAGATGCCAGTCTTCACCCAGCACATCTTCAACTTTACGCATATAAGCATCGAGTTGGCGTTCAATCTGACGTGCCCACACAATAGCACCAGATACCGGAGGAAGATCACGCAACTGCGCCATTGCGTGCGCCTCTGAGTGGCCATACTGTTGCTTGAACCGCTCGTGTAAAGATGAGATGTCCTGCTTCACGTTATCGATAAGTTGCGTCTGGTACTCTCCAATTGCACCTCTAATCTTGGGACGGACAAGTAGTGCATTGAACTTTGAGAAGACACGAAACATCTCGTTAGCATTCTTGGCTGTAGCAAGGCGATCCCTGAGACGAGCAATGATCGAGTTCTCCACGCGGGATGTGCGCTCATTATATGCGATCTCTTCCTGTATCCATTGTTGAGTACCCTCATCAGATACATCTAATACATCCACATTTTTCAGAGCAGCGTAAGCCTGTGCAACTTCTTCGACTGCATCCACATCACCAATTTCTTCGACGATAACTGCGCCATCAGAGCTAGCTCCAGCAGCCGGTTCTCCTGCGGAGGAACTCTTCGGGCCGAGAACATTCACGATCGTCCTCTGAAGCTGTTCGTGATTCACTCGGAAGGTGTTGATATATTTCAAGCGCTCCTGGGTCTTCTCGTGGCGTGCGGCGATCTTGATGGGAATGAATTTCTCATTTCTGCGCCTCGTAGACTCACGAGCGACATTAGTGAACTCCTTCAAGTTTTCGTCCCATGTCCGCCAGATTGCCCCACAGGTCTTCATCAGAGAGCGGAATTCGCGGTAATCCAAATGCAAAATGGTCCGGCCGTGAAGCAAGGAATGGATCTGGGAGTCAAGATCACCGGATATGGCTTCAACAAGCGCGAGGGCTCGTTTGATCGGGTAGGGACAGATCTTCAACTTCTTGTTAAGGTGGTTGAAAATCAGATTAAGAGATTCCTGCACCTTCTGCAGAGTCGTAGCAGAGAGGAGTTCATCCAATGGGAAGTCCCGCATAAGTTGGTTGTACTTTTGGACCAGATCGGCAGCCTCTCGCAGACCAGTGTCAGCTACAAAACTAAGAGTAGCCTGGTATCGCTTCGCATGGCGAAGAATGTCCATTGTTAAAGAGACGCCATCACTGCGTAGCTGATTCTCGATCCCTTCAAGCGCAGTCTCCATGGACAACCAGAAATTAATCTCCTGAGCTGCTGATCCGCTATCAGCGTCACGGGACATCTTGGTAATTGTCTGGATGGATTTGATCCAAGTGTTCACATTGGTTTGAATGCTATTGATAAAAGTACTGCTCTCGAGGATTGTGGGATCGATCAACTCCACTGAAGGCTTGACACCTCGCTTTTCCGCCTCGGTCAGAGCAGCTTGAACGACCTCGTGGAGCGGCAAACTGAGCGCTGGAATCTCAACATTTTGTTGCAAGTGTAAAAGCCCAAGTTCCAGCTCTGCAAATTTCTTCTTAGTCATTGGAACGCCAGTCTTCGCCTCCGTATCTGTCCTGGGCTTTGAACCACTAACTGTATCCTGGTTGCGACTGTTGGCTTCGAAATACGGGCTCAACCCGTGGTGTACCAAAAGGTGGAGGATCTCATACGGAGACAAAGAAGTGTTTTGCTGGGCTTGTGTGTTACTGAGAGAGGCCGGGCCAGGGAAGTTCATCACCTGGATCTGCGAAGATATAGGGAGTGCCGGATCAATAGCGGCAGGCCGTTTAATGAAAGCAACCGTTGCAACCGTCGTGGAAGAGGATGAGATTTCGGCGGAGAGGTTATAGATATAGTGCGTTGATAGTGCTGCGATGAGTTAGCTATTTGTTAGCAGTAAAAAACTCTAGTTTAATGAATGTCCCTACCTTCTTCATCTGCACCAGCCGCCTCTGCAGACCCTATCAGGTCTTTCTGCACGTAAAGTGCGACCTGAGATTCGGAAGCAAATCGCGTACATCTTTGCACAGTTTCATTATATTTAGCCTCCGATAGCAAGCTGCCAGTCCTTTCTAGCTCGGTTCTCAGAGCTCCCAAAGTCACTTGCAGCACATCGCTCAAGTACTGGATTATGGCACTTGAGTCCACAAAAGTTGCCTGGGCTGGTGTGGATACACCGTTCGATATTCCAGCAGAGGCGACCTCCATGGCTACAACACCTTATGAGAATAAGCTCGCGGTGATCATGGAGGATCCGAAGCAATGAAAACGGTGTCGCTTCGGGTAGAAACAAGTCGCGACAATACTCCGAACGCAAGGTATGCCTGGAAAACAAAGGGAAAGGCCGAGTCCGGGTGATTCGAGGAGAAGCGAAAGAGGGGGGTTACTGCAATAGTAGTTAAAATCTCATGCTCTGTTCTCGATTTCGGACCTGTCTTCCTCTCTGTGTTAATCAATAAATTAGTTTGGTTTAGGAACTCGGCGCAGTGGGACGCGCGTGTTACTGTCTACTTCAGGGGCAATTAGCGCTAGTCCATATCAGGATTAGCAGATACAGAGGTCAATTAGCATCTGGTCTAACAGTAGGCAACCTATGGCAATCTCAACCTGATAAATAACTACTCGTTCCGCCTCCCCAGTAGTTCTTGTTACAAAGCACGGACACGTTTGCCCCATTATGTGTAAATTATTCGGAAGAGATGGCCATCTATAAAGCCACATGCTCACACGAATTATCAATCATGCTCACTTTGTTGGGTCTTACCCACATCACCACCCTTCCAATTAAATCGCGGTTCCAATATCCATGAGCTGCGGATCATCTGCCGTTCGGCAGTCACAATAATACTTCTCGCGAAACTCGGCTGGCTCCATGTTTTCCAGGACGATCAGGGCTTTCTCACTCGCTTTCACCTTGGCATAACGACCGGATGACGCTGTTCCTTCTGCAACGACAACTTCATGCACAATGACAGCGGCTAGGACACTCATCGTGCCCCCATCTACAGCGGGTATCTCCCCGGCTTTCAGGCAATAATTTGTACAGCCGTACTCATTTATCAGTCGATTTTGCAAGAAAGTCTAGTCTTCATCAGCCAGATCGAAACATTAACAATCGTAGGAACAGTCTCACGATTGGGTGTTTGTTAGCAAACGTGTCGTATATGGTCATATCAAGGAAATATGATTTAACATGATGCTTGAAGAAATCCTCTACCACGCGAAACTGGAAGCCCGAGTCAACAAAAGCAGCGCCTAAGTAAGCTTCAACCATGTCCGGCAGGCACTAGTGATCAAAATTAGTTGAGCCCTACACCGGGCTGCCCAAAGTACTCCGGAGTACCTTCTTACCTTGGGCGGGTCCTTCGATACTAGCCAATAATCCACTGCACCTTCACTTTCGTTCTCTGCGGCTTGTATCTCCTCGGCATAGTGAGTAATTTGCGATTGCAGTGGATTACTGAAGTGTCTAAGATGAGTATGGAGCCCTAGCTTAACAGCTAAAACCCCGAGGAATTTGTTCGATACCATCGCCATCTATAATATTGCAGTCAATAACTGCTTGGTAGTCAAAAGTAACCGTACACTTACTTTATGCTCCGTGAGCCATTGTGGATCCTTGTCCGGAAATCGGTAGAATAAGTCATCTACACAAACCATATCCAACAGAGAGTCGCCCAGAAATTCGAGTCTCTGATAGCATGGTACTTTCGCCCACGCCGAAGGGTACGATGGATGAGTAAAAGCTGAGTGCAAAAGGCGAGGATATTTGAAACGATAACCCAGTTTCTCCTCGACCTTGCGGCCAAGATCCAGCTCATATCCGTCTGGGCTCTGAGCTTGGTACTTCGGCAACATGTAAAATGAAGTATAATCCGCCCAACATAAGGCCCTATGGTTGGGACTGTCAACAACAGCAGTGACTGCTTTGACAGCCATGTCGAACCGATTATCCAGCCCACCTGAGAGCAGTGACGCTCCGATCAAGGCTTCGCAAACGTCCGCAACTGTCTTTTCTCCAAGTACATGTTTGCTCTCCGCCGAAATCTTCTTCCTGTGATCTCTACCATGAAGCAGGGTTAAGCCATCTGGGTACCACGTATGCCTAAGGCTTCCTGTCAGCTTATGATTCGGTACGTACAGACAATCTCATACCTTGAAAAGCCTCGACTGCGGATATACTGGTATAGCTCCTGCTTTAGAGCGGTGTTGAAAAGATTTTTGTTGCATATGAGGCACATCCGGTTTACATGGAAATCGAACTCGTCGTCATCCGGGTTCTGCACAAAGAGAGAAATTGATGTTGCTATTTTCAGGAAACAATCTCCTAAGAACTCTAGGCGCTCGTAGTTTTTTCCCATCCCTCTTTGGATATGTATTTGTTGCACCCGATGCTCCTCTGTGTTATCGGAGTCTTTCGTGAAAGCCTCCAGCGCATATTCGGGCTTCACAGATAAATTCAGGGTTTTGCAGCCTTCGAGCGCAATCAAATATGCATCCAGCCTGCTGATTATGGCCGGAAAGGCAAGGCAAGAAGCAGCAATTTCCTCGGGGATCTAAGCAACGAGTCAGCAACTAATTGTTGGGCTATATTCGATAAAAGGAGCTCAACTGACAGCGGAAATTCTCAGTGCCTCTATACAGATAAAACATCTAGTTTCGACGTCCTTTTCATTATCTGTCATCTTGTCCAGGAGGTTTCTCCGCAGGCGAACCAGCTCGGCTTCTAAAACTGGTTGCTCCCAGTTACATCTTGACAAAAACCCTGCCCGTGCATTTTTTGAACCACTTAAGGTATAACTCATGATGTCTTCCATAAACTTGCGGCGCGGAAGGAAGGATGGTGGCGGATCCGAAGGGTGCAATGTGTTGTCAATGGCCATGGTGAAGTACCGATATCTTCCGTCCCACGGGTCAAATACAAAACGATTGATCAATGCCTCCGAAGATGTATGCAGTGTGAAAGGTATCTCCTCGTTTTTATGCACAAGAAGTAGCAGTTCCCAATCCGTCAGAGTCTTTGGATCACTGACCTTCTTGGACTTCGTGGTCCCTGCGGGAGCAACCCAGTATGGCAATTTCTCGGGTTCTTCCTCATAGGTTTTGTGGAACACATCGTGGAAAATACGAAATGTGAAGCTTGACAAGTATTCCAATTCCTGCCCAGATACATGTAGAACTTCGTCCAAAGATTCAAGAGCGACTATGGTCTCGATATCATCATCTAAGAAGATGGTGAATGATGGAAAATCAGGCAATCTCTCACGAGTGAACAAGATTATACTTCTGTGTCGGCGTCTGAGTGGCGCTGATGGTATGAATGATATAATAGTAGCATATAGCTTTTCTGGAAGGGTACCCTGTTGTTTCTTCCAAAGCGAAGGTTTCGATAGCATGCTGTATTGGTTTGTACGCGAAGAGGTAATGGCAAGCCTCGCATTTCTCATGGCAGGCAAGCGCCTATGATAAACTGAATTAAAGTGATCATCGAGCAGTTTGTGTTTTCGGAGCAAGACACAAGTATCGAAGGCTGCGGATTGCTTTGCAGTGGATTTCTTCGGGGCAGGGATTCCAGTGAGCCCTCGAACAGGTGACTTTTCCGGTAAGATGACTTCACAAACGAAACCATTATTCTGTGGAAGCACCACATATGTAGCATGAGCTGATACCTCTTTTTCGTATTGCTAGATAACATAGATGCCTTAATTAAAAGTTCTTCGGTGTCAGTACGGGACGATGGTGCTCACCAGAGAGCTAGCGTAGCGTGCGAGAATAGCTAGGGCAGAGTGGTAAGTCAGCTTCGCGCCTGTAGCCTTGATCATAAACGTTCGCTTCTCTTCTTCACCTTGGTGAATTGAGTCTATCTCGCTGTCAATTCCGTGGAGTATTCGGTCTTCTGGAAGTGTTTCACAGAAACTCTGCATTAGTTTCTAACATTGGGTTAGAACTATCAGCCGTGTATCAATTTTCTACACTTACTTCAGCCTCCCGAACCTCGACTAGTCGTGCTTCATGATCAGTATTGTACCTTTCAATCATACTTGCATACTGTATGTATGTGAGTCAGAGTTTTTGGACACTCAGCAGTGATAAGGGTCTTGTCTTACCGTCGAACTTGAATGTCTAGCGCGGCCACGGCTTTGCACATACTGTATAAGGGTATTGTATAAGTCGAATCTAATCTGTTAGCATAAGCGAACCTACACTGTGGTGAAACATACCTAACTACAAGATTGCAGTCAGGAATATCGAGTCCTTCTTCGGCTACTGAAGTAGCAAACTTTGACTTATTAGACCTGTGGACGGGGGCAGAGGGCTAGTGTTACTTACCAAGCAGTTAATCTCCCCACTCCTGAATTTCACCAAAGCGAGAAACTGTTGGCGAAACGACACATTCATTCCTACGATATCACTAGATCGGACACCAATAAGCACACCAGGCCGTAGGTGAGGTATCTCTAAAGTCGAGAAAAGGTCGAATAACATCTTAGCAGTGTAACGCTTCTGTGTAAAGATGATACATTTTTTCTCCGTTGGATGCTCAAAGTGTTTGGTAAGCTTTTGGCGTAGAAGCCGTACTTTAGGGCTTAGTTCACCCGGAACTTTGGGGTTATTCAACGAATAATTCTTGACAATGTCACTAGCTTCCCGTATCCTTGATATTTCCCTGAGAGCGCACTCAGGAATCTGTGATGAGATAGATTGGGTGAGCTTTCTCACATTTCCTTCAAGCTTCGGCAACACATCGTCTGCTAGGGCGTGCGCCCATGCACGATCAGCGCAACATGGTCCCAGTTCGGAACTAGCTTGTAACGTAAACCTGAACACAGGTTGCAAAGAGCTAATGTTACCAAAGCGGGCTTGCAAGATCTGATATAGATTGGTCGCGAACGGCGGATCGAGTGTATCGTATTCCCAAGATTCCTCTATCGGACGTCTGACGACTTCTCTTAATAGACTAAGTTTCGATGTTGTGGCAATCTTGCTGTCTAGGAGAGCCTCCAGCTTCCTATAAAATGTAAGTCAGGGAGTTGTTCTATATACAGTAGGACATACATAGCTGATTGTATGATATCCCCCTTGGTGTCAATAGGCGAAGCTGTCATTCCAAAGATTCGTGGACGCTTGGATGGGTCTGCTTTAAGATATGATTCTCTTATAATCCTGTCAAAAATAAGAGCATCATAATCAGTCTAGGTTGTGCTTTTCTCTTTTCTCAACTTTGCCAAATACATACCGTGCGTAAGGATGGTCTTTCTTCGTGTGATGGGCTTCGTCAAAGATGAGTAGATTAATTTGATCCATTCTAATGTGTGAGTTGAGTAGACATTGATTCAATATCTCTGCGGTACAAACTATCACCATATTATTCTCAGAATGATGATCCCAGGTCTTCTTGCTCCAGAGGTCAGTACCCATAGCGCCAAAAAAGTGTGCGACATTCTGATCCAGGTTGTTGCGCAAGACGGCGGCTTGTTGGAAAGCAAGCGTCACGCTGTCCACCTATTTGCATATTAGCACCTCCAAAACAGCGAAGCGTTGCATGTATACGAACAAGGAAAAACGAGATACGATGTGGCTTTCCGTTAGCACGATCGATCAACTCATTGTGGATGATGTGCTTTAGCAGAAGCACGGCTATCAAGGTCTTCCCAGAACCTGTAGTACAATTAGGCGAAAAGAAGATAATGAGAGCTATTGAGTTGGGCCAGGACGCACGTACCGGTATCGAGAACAGCAATAGTATTCTGTGACTTTGCCCTTTCAAAGAGTTCTACCTGATATTCTCTCGGGTCAAGTATCCCAGTCCCGGCATCATGTTTGGCTACCAAGCTTGCTGTAGACAGCTCAGCGTCAGGCAAGTCAAATGTGGGTCTGGAACTATTGCCGGGGACTGTATCAGCTCGTTCAGAAAGCCTAAGTATAAATCAGCTAGAGGCCGCAAAGAGCTCTAGGCCGGAGATCGTACAGAGCCTCGAACTTGGCATTTTGAAGTCTTTTCCTTTGATAGGCGAGTTTTTGAGTGGGTATTCGTTCGTTATCTCCTGACTCGTCTGAGGAGCTGTCCTTTCCCTCAGTTGGCTCAGTTGTAGAAATAGTCCTTTCCTCAGACAGATTCATATATGAGGGAATCCTGGAGCTTTGACTGCTGACATGGCCAGCTACAGGCTGTGCCTCTGACGATGGCATCTTGGCTTTTCCTGGATTGCTCAGAAATCAAACAAGGAGGTTGAAGTGGACGTGTGCACTGTAATGTAGTACAGTGGTACTTGATGGCTGAAAGGAAGGATAGAATAAGTGTTATGACGCTGTGAAAGAAATTTTCCTTCAAAGAAGTGAATAGACTTACACCACATCGTGAAGTGGAGGAGATAGTAAGTATTGGCACTTGGTAGCGGTATGAGTGTTACAATGTTACACTGCCTAATAGTCCAGTAAACACATGGGTAAATCTATATAATATAGAACATGTCACGTTTAAAATATCTCTAGTAGTTAGGTAAACAGAGCTGGTAAAACTTTTCTTTGTTGGTTAGCTTTTCAGTGATAATAAACAAAGTCACAAGATAGACAAAAGACTACAACAGATTGTTGAAGTGACTTTATAGTATATACTTCTTCAACATTAAGTGTGTTTAATTTGGTGGGGCCTGAAGTTCCGATGGCGCGGAGCGGACCCATAATTGACCTTAAATTATTTCTATAATTTTACCCCTCTCCGCGGAGCTCTTTTATGCGGCTTTGATCTTTACAAAACATAGCATCTCGAACCACTACAATGGAACAGCCCCAGAACCTTCGAGCGCTTTTTGCTGCTGCAAAATCAGAAAAGTCAGCATTGGAAAGTCGCTTCGACACTAACACAGATCAATATCGCAACGATGTCAATGCCACAATAGCCAAGCTCGAGGAATGCGCACGACTCGTTGCGGTCCTAACGCTATTCAGCTCGAACGAGCCGCTGGAAGATATCGCAACTGGGGATTTGCCGTAATCTTACTATCTCAGTGTTTCTATATCCCGACCCAGACTAATTTATTCCGGTTCACACTAGGTACCTCACGGTGTCATACCACCTTGCGGAGCTCCTACAGAGATCGTACAACTCAGACCGCGTGTCTAGCCTTCGACGTGCACTTGAACAATACGAAAGATACCTCACGCGCTTGGATGATTATGAATTACTCAACGATAAGGATAAGAAGCTCTACGAACGGTATACTGCGAACCCGGCGTCCTTTTCGCTGACGCCTGTCAACGACGCCGCTGCCCGGAGAGAGGTGAAGATAAATAGGTTTAGGGAGGAAAAGGAGCTCAAACAAAGGCTCCAGGTTGGATAGACCCAGGTTTGAGGAGTTGGCAGTCTTGCTGACGTACCTGAAGTACCTCTCCGATAATCAAAGCCGGCTCCAGACCGACGACGAAGACGTTCGACACCTCTATATTGCAGAGATCAAACTATATACCCACCAGACGTTTCAATCCTTGGACCTTCTTTCACAAGAGCTGTCTATGCTATCGGCCATCCGCAACGCGGCACCAACCCATGATCAAATCCCACCCGAAGACACTAGGCGCCGGAAGGATGCCCAACAGTCGGAATACTCTGAACGATTGGATCCTCCCCTTTCCCAGCTTCTACAGGGAGGCAAGTTTGGACCAATATTGAGTAAGGCTGGGAAACCATTGCAGCCATTTACACTACTTGATCGGCGGACACAGCTCCAACAAGGTGTTTTTCGGTCTGGTCACAATTTACCTACCATGACAATCGACGAATATCTCGAAGAAGAGAAGAGAAGGGGCGGCATTATTGAAGGTGGCGAGAAGTCTGGTGTACAAGAGGAAGTTGATGAGGACGATATGGATAGGGCCGACGAAGAAACTATGAAAGCTAGAGCCTGGGATGAATTCACAGAAGCCAACCCACGAGGCTCTGGAAACACCTTGAATAGAGGTTAATACCGATTGGATCCTCTGTTACCTATTTAGTTCACTCTCACAACATAATTTTGGGGCCACAATTACCCTATCTTGCGATGCTTGTTAAAGGTCTACCTATAACCTTGGGATTCTTTCGTTGTCTGCCATTATCATCTCAAGACTCGAGAAACTAGTGACAGATTATGAATAGTAGGGTGACAGGCTTCCATGTAGTGCTGCTTTTCAATGGCACGTCTGACATTTTCTCAGTTATGTACAGTTGTCCGTTTAGATACAATTTGTGAATCACGGAGAAGACCAGCCCTCCGCCACAGGACGTCTATCTATACATTATTATGATTAAGCCGCCTGCTTATTCCGCTGGATATCCTCGAGGATCTTCCCTGCTCCCTTGACTACTAATTCCTTGGCAACAGTTACGCCAAAGTTCTCAGCAGCTTGAATGGAGTCGACATTTCCATCGATTTCGACCTCAGCGCTTTCCTTACCATCCACGCTGACAACGATGGACCTCATTCGGAGCTTCTTCGAACCATCGGAGGATTTAATCCATTCGGTTTCAACTCCAAGTGGTGCACTGCAGCCACCTTCAAGGGTTCGTAGCAGGCTCCGCTCCGCGGTGCTGGCAAAAGTCGTCTCATTATGACCAATATTGTTCAGCATATCACGCATCACCTGATCATCCTTTCGAATTTCGATGCCTAACGCACCCTGGCCGACTGCATAAAGCATCCCACCGTTTTTCGAGTCAAGGTACTGCGAGATGCGATCATCGAGACCTAGTCTCAGTAAACCGGCAGCTGCAGGATAATGCAAGTATAAGGTGAATCTTCCGCATCTAGTTTGGCGAGTCGTGTACCGATATTTCCACGCACATCAATAACCTTTAGGTGAGGGTATTTCAAGGCCAATTGAGCAGTACGGCGGATGGAAGAGGTGCCAACGACGGATCCTGCAGGCATATCGGATAAAGACATGTTCGGTAGCCCTTTCTTGATGACCAGTACATCCCTGGAATCTTCACGCTCCATCATAGGGCCCAGCGTACACGCGGGGGGTAGGGTAGTTGGTACATCTAAGGACAGTCACTCTATCAGCGTCCATTGCAGCATTGCTATTAGCATACGCGGATAGCAGACCTTTTAATGAGTGAACAATGAAGTCCACATTGCCGGCCATTAAGTGTTCCTCTAATTCCTCCGTCCATAGGTTCTTCGTCGTAAATTCTCGAAAAGCAATAGTAGTGTTCAAATCGCCGGCAGTTTCCTGCGAGTGTATTTTGAATTCATAGGTAGGATAAACCCCTTGAAGTGCCGAGACCACCAGGTCAGTTTGCGAAAGGGCAAGTTTAGACTTGCGAGTGCCAACGGTGAATGTTTTTCGCGATGAGGGGTTGGCGGCGCCAGGGGCGGGGTTCGATGTAGAGGCCATAGCGAGACTTGAAAGCGAGAGTATTGTACTAGGTCCTCTCAAGAGTACGGAATCAGCGAAACTGCTCGTAAAATGGTAATCCCTCCGAGGAGAGTCGGTTAAACGACAGAGCAATATACAATGGAAGGAGTTGTGGCCGTAACGTCAGGCTGGAGGCTGCAGAAAAACTAAGGTTGGAGCCAGAGATGGAAGGACGAAAGCGGTAGTAGTACTGTATTGTCTGTATTGTAATCGGTAATCCCGAATAAATTCCGACTGATCTGATGGAAGATCACGAGATCACCGGAAAACGGACAAAGATAAGACGGAAGATACAGCACAAACGACCTGGAGGTGAAAGACTTGACAGTTGCTTGTGAATCAGTGTAGCTTTTGATTTCTTTACCTGGGGAAGACTTACTTATCGCTGAAATACAGGCATCAGCCTTCCTTCGGCCTTTTTCCCCGGATTTGTGACAGACGGATTTGTAGCCACACGAACCTCGGCATCGGGAGACGGCTTATCACTGGTGATCATCTCCCCAGAGTCACGGACTTCATCGATGGGGTTCTGGAACCGTCGCCTCCACTACCTTATAACCGACAACCTTCTTGTACTTCCCTAGGAGACCGCTCCTTTCATCTCCCTTCCTTTACTACCACAATATTCTGTAACTCATACATTAAAGTTGCTCTAGTTCCTCCTTTTCTTGCCATTCTTCCTTTTATTCCCAGACGTGTAAAGTGTCTTTCCGATCGAACAGATCGCGATGGGCTCTAACAACGGAAGAACTACCAAGCTTGCTCTCGTACCACTCCCTAAAGGCTCTGTTCTCCTCCCCGGAGTTACCCTACGGATCCCTGTTGCTAATCGACCTGATCTTTCCAATCTTCTTTCGTCACTGGTTGACCGATCATCGGCCGTAAAGCGAGAGGGGAACGTGATCACGTTCGGCTGCGTTCCCCTTAGCTCGCCGTTCTTAAGTAAGGATGGTCAACATTTGATTGACAATGGAACTTTGGACGAAAGTAGGAGAGAAGAGTTTGATGCTATTGATGCAGGCCAGGCAAGGAAGGAAGATCTCTTCCGTTATGGCACAATCGGCAAAGTTATTGGCGTCCAACGCCGTGCCTACTCAGAAGCGTCCCTTGTGGTTCAAGGAATCCAGCGATTTACAGTAAGACGCATTCTGAAGGAAAGACCTTATTTTGAAGCAGAAGCTATTTTACATGATGAGAAAGGTTAGTTTACAAACCGTTCTTGACCTGTAGTGCCACCGAAACTGATGGGGTCGTTTCTTTTTGGACAGACTATTCGTCTAATGATCCGGAAACCGTTGAGTTATTCCAGCAGTTGAGGCGACTCTCCCGGGAGCTTCTGACCCTATTACGACTTTCCTCACTGTTGCCTTCTTCTTCAACACGTTTATCGCCACTCATTGCCCGCAAGTTCGAGCTGTTCATATCTAAAACAGATTTGACACAGGCCGGGAGGTTAGCCGATTTTATGGCTGATATTGCTGAATCTGGAATCGAAGACAAGCTTCGGGTCTTAGCTTCGCTGGATCATAAAGCTAGACTTGAAAGAGTGGTTGAAATGCTTAATAGACAAGTTCAAAGTATCAAGAGCAATGTTAAAGTCACCACCATCACCACGAATAACTTCCCTTCGTTTGACGTCAACCAGATCGATCCTCGTGATCGCGAGCTTCTTGCGAGACGGGCCATGGCTGGTCTCACTGGACTGACACCCCCAGGCGTCGCAGGCGGAAGAAACAATGACGGCGATGATAAAGAGGCAAACGAGGTTGATGAACTCCAACAAAAGCTACAAGATGCCCAGCTTAGTCCCGAGGCTCGAAAGGTTGCCGATAAGGAGTTGCGTCGCCTTCGGAAGATGAACCCGGCCAATGCCGAATACGGTGTTTGCCGGACGTATCTCGAGAACATCTTGGAAATCCCATGGACCAAGGTCACCGAAGACCAACTCGGTCCCGACACTTTGAAAAGGGCCAGGCAACAGCTTGATGACGACCACTACGGCCTCGAAAAGATTAAGAAGCGGCTTCTTGAGTATTTGGCCGTTCTTAGACTGAAGCAGTCCACCAACCAAAACGTCGAACATCAAATTGCCGCCCTCTCTAAGGACCTTGATACTTCTTCCGATGCAGGTGATATCGAGAAGGACCTCCCAGGCCTGTCTGAGGCAGATCGTGTTGCTGTCGAATCTAAGCTCCATCTTCTGAAGTCGAAGCGCATGACTGACAAGTCTCCGATTCTGCTGCTTGCTGGGCCTCCTGGCACTGGTAAGACCAGTCTAGCGAGGTCTGTGGCCACTTCTCTTGGACGTAAATTTCACCGCATTTCTCTCGGTGGCGTTAGAGACGAGGCGGAGATTAGGGGTCACCGCAGGACATATGTTGCCGCAATGCCAGGTCTGATTGTCAATGGCCTTAAGAAAGTTGGCGTCGCGAACCCGGTCTTTTTGCTCGACGAGATTGACAAGGTCGGCGGCGCCAATTTCCAGGGCGATCCTTCCGCGGCTATGCTCGAGGTTTTAGACCCCGAACAGAACCATACATTCACAGACCACTACATCAATATCCCAATCGACTTGAGCAAGGTCCTTTTCATTGCTACTGCTAACTCGCTTGATACTATCCCTCCACCTTTGCTTGATCGTATGGAGACGATCTCGTTGTCTGGTTACACAACCGTCGAGAAACGGCATATTGCAAAGAGGCACCTGATTCCAAAGCAGATTGAAACCAATGGGCTCTCAGAAGGTCAAGTCATCCTTTCGGATGAGGTTATTGACAAAACGATTACTTCATACACCCGAGAGTCTGGTGTCCGTAACCTAGAGCGCGAGCTCGGCTCAATTTGCCGTTATAAAGCAGTCCAGTATGCCGATGCGGGAGATGCGGGTCATCGGGAAACTTACAATCCCATCGTTACGATGGATGACCTGGAAGAGATACTTGGTATCGAGCGATTCGAAGAAGAGATCGCTGAGAAGCATGGCCGTCCGGGAGTTGTTACCGGTCTTGTCGCTTACTCTACAGGAGGACAGGGTAGTATTCTGTTCATCGAAGTCGCAGACATGCCGGGAAATGGTCGCGTGCAACTTACCGGAAAGCTCGGTGACGTTTTGAAAGAGAGTGTTGAGGTGGCCTTGACATGGGTCAAAGCTCATTCCTACGAGCTGGGGCTGACTCCGGATCCCAGCGAAGATATCATGAAGAGTCGGAGTCTGCACGTTCATTGTCCTTCCGGAGCCATTCCCAAGGACGGCCCCTCCGCTGGACTTGCACATACTATTGGACTGATCTCACTGTTCTCGAACAAGGCTGTACCCCCCCAACTTGCAATGACTGGAGAGGTATCTCTCCGTGGAAGAGTGATGCCTGTTGGGGGTATCAAGGAGAAGCTCATTGGGGCACTCCGTGCTGGTGTCAAGACCGTTCTCTTGCCTTATCAGAACCGCAAGGATGTCAAGGACGTTCCTCAAGAGGTCAGCGATGGTCTCGAGATCATCTATGTCAGGTTAGATCCATCTATACCCCACTCTTCTTGCTGCGTACTGACAATTACCTAGCCATATCTGGGAAGCCATCCGACAAGTGTGGCCTGATGCACACTGGCCTGGTCAGCATCATGAGAACTTTGTCGAGAGCCGACTTTAGTTCTTGAGCTAAGGTGATCGGCCATTCGTATGCTTGTTTGCATTTTGCGTTTAGTTTCTTTTAGCGTATCTCTACTCATTTGACGTTTGCATAGCGTGTTGTCTCGTTTATATAACATGGTGTCTCCTACGTATAGCATAACCTGTCGTGGGCACCCTGTCAATAATTTTTCTGCTTCCGCCGCTGCGATTCTTTTCATTCAGTACAGTCTTCCCTTTTTCTCTTCCCTCTTTCATTACTACACCAGTAGAACATACTATAACAGTTACTTTGAATATATTGAGACAGCATATAATACAGAGTCTTGCAATAGTCACCACATGATAGAAAAAGGAAAAGGTCCCCCAAACACAGACCTAGATCACCAAAGCGTGAAGAGTAAAGCCGCTTTTCTATACCCGGCCTTCCAGGCCTAACAAGAAAGAAACACAAGAAAGAAAGAAAGAACCACGAAACAGAAACCACTCATGAGCTGGTGGAGCTCTTGCCAAGTCCCGTCCGATCATAGCTAAGTCCCAAAGCCTGCCAAGTAGGTCTCCATGGTTTCGAGCCGTCCAGCAGCTTCTTCGCTTCCTCGGCGTAAGTATCACGCTCATCCGTGTTCGCCTTCATACCCGCGTCCGGTCGTTGCTTATCTTGGATATCGTTCTGATATTTGGCCGCCTTGTGGAACTGGTCGTACTCCCATCTGTAATTGACACAACCGCCTCGTTAGCCCACATCCCCCCACTCCAGTACGTAAAAAAAAAACACAGGCAAAAACGAAAAGAAGCGAGGGGAACGAAAAAGAAAACATACGGAGTCATATCAGCCGGAGCCTCAGGCCAAACAAACGGAGTCTTCATCTCAACCGTCATCTTCTTCTTCGACATAGGTCTCCTCAACTTCCCGTACCCAAATTTACCCAAAGGACGAAGCCGAGTGACCTTCTGCTGCTCGACGAAACTCCTCACGGAGAGCACATCAACCCCATACAGGTGCTTCAGGTAGTCGCGCATATCCAATTTGTTGAAGTTTAGCGGGACGTAGAAGGAAGCGTATCGCGGGGGGAGGAACGGTGTGCGGATGAGAGCGATTGTGAAGTCGGGACTGGGTACAATCAGGATTAGAAGGCAATGTTTCTCATTGCGGGTTTTTCTCTTCGAGTTGAAGCGGTATCTGCGTGTGCTTGCTGCAACTTACAGGAAGACCTGTTTCCGCATGGACAGCGGCGCCGACGGGGACACCCAGTCTGCGGGCTTCTTGGGAAACTTGGAGAATCTGCGGACCATTTTGCCGTTTGTTTGTGTGCCCAATGGGTGGTATTGACTGGGTTGGTGCTGTTGGGGCTTTGGGTCGGTTTTGGTCGAGGAGAACTTGATATCGTTCGGGCTTTAGGCTCAGCGGAACTTTCGCAAAGTTGCGCGTGTGGCCGCGCCGCCTGCCGTAGTGGTTTTGGCCAACGGATTTAAAGCCGTTCCAATACTGTTGCAAAAGGCTAGAAAAATAAATAATAATGTCAAAATAACAAAACAAAAACGAGGAAAGGAGAAAATATATCTAGTTATACACGAGTTGAAATTTGAATGCTGCCGAAACGCATTCGAGCAATTTAATCTTTAAACGCTCATAATGGTCATTACTATCATCTAAATCTACTCATTAAACTTTTTGCTGCCCTTCATGTCTACGAAACGTGCAATTCGCCCAGTCGTTGAGAACTCTCGGTGATTGCATCAGATTCAGACTCCTTCGACTTTTCGACACTGCTCTCCTCATCTGCGTTCACGTCTTCCTCGGCTTCGTCCTCAGACCCCGAATGATCCTCATCATCGCTTTCTCGCTCTTCATTGGCGCCGACCTCCTTCATGTATGCTTCCAGTTCACGAGCCATCTTCCTTGAAAACCCTGATGCTTCAACGTCAACGTCCAGCCGCTTTCCAGGGTTCTCAAGAAGTTGTTTCTTAGCGTCAGCGAAGAACGGGCCTGGCTCATCGCTCACATAACGGAACTTCCGCTGGAAGTAACGCTTAATACAATTCACATCACGGTCGAAGTACATTTCTGCATTCGCATGGTCGATCGATACCATCTGCGGGAAATCAATGATGACCGGAACCAGCCGGATGTTCTCGTCGTTCTCTGCGTCTGCTGGGGCTTTACCCTTCGCATTCGGGTCCTCTTCTTCTTTGATGAGGATATTGAATTCGTTAAAGTCACCGTGGATCAACCCATACCGAGCTAATCTCATGATCGTATCCATAAGCTCTGAGTACAGGAGGGCTGGGTTCGGAACCGTCGAGATCTGGCGTAGTGGGAAGGCGTCAATAAGACTCATGACAATTGTGTGCCTGTTCTGCGCGATAGGCTCTGGTACTGAAAACCCGTTCTCTCCAAGTGCCTTCATGAACGCATATTCCTTCATCGCCGCCAAGCGTGACATATACATCCACGAGCCAGTTTGCCGGTGTCGTAGGTAGTCTCGGTTAGTTTTGACTGTTCGAAAAGAAATGCGACCGAGACGATGGATCTTGAGAATGCGCTGTGTTCCCTGGTGGTTCGCAACCACGACAATGTCGGATTCCTTTCCGACGCCGATTTGGTTTCCGACGGAGTAGACGCATTTTTGCTTTTGGTGAGCGTTAAGCGCTAGATAATCGAGGCCACCGTAGGTGAGACGATATCCGTCGTCTATAGAAACAGTGGGCAATTAGAAAATCGCCTAGAGACACGGCGAAAGAAAGAGCGTGATCGACGACGTACATTTGGCATTCTTCACCTTCGCAATAAGATTGGTTTTGGCCAAATTCGAAATAGCTCGGTTTACACCACTACCACCTCGAAGACCTGAGATATTGGCGATTAACGGAGTCGGAACAACTTCATGGTTTCTGCTTCCTGTCTCAACCTAGAAACGTCTTTTGTTAGCTGTCAGACAACAGGTTACCAAAGCGGCAACGAATCGCGGGGTGATGAGGGGCATACCGCAGAGAGAACACGAAAATCCTCAGAGGTGAGGTAACGAATTGCCTTGGCATCGAGCTTCATGATGTTCTATAGTCACTGACGCCTAGGACAATAGAACCAGTGGCCTTCTTAAACCGCAGACTGCATACTGAGCGATGCCGCGGACATGGGATGGAGAAAAAGTGACAGCCCCCCCTTTGCCCTATGCCCTACTTTCCTTTCCGGGAACATCATTGGACCTTCTCTGGGGACCTCGAGGGCAATGGGCTGCAATTTGCCCATCTATGTTCGGGAATAGTAGGCTATACCCACCGTTAATCTAGTTCTACCCTAGTCATATTCGGTTTCTACGCAGAGCCAACTATCAGGTTCAGTGTAAAAGTTGGGTTATTGATTATACTCAGTATAAGCTCGATGACCCGTACTCTACCTCCACCGATATCTAACCAGATACAGAAACCATGGCTTAATCATGGAAAACAATGCATGTCATTTTCCGACTCGTGCTGAATACATTAGACCAAATCATATCAGAGCGCCGGCTGTGTCTTCCTGCGCTGGATTAACCCGCATAACTTATAGAAAACAAGTATATCACTTCTTACGCAGTACTCTGCTCACCCTCCCAGTTGGGATTCTATAACGAAGACTGTTAGTTATCTTGTTATCCATGCAGGAGTAGAAGAAGGACTTACTTTGCGCAGAATGACCAATCCCTCGAGTGTGCTGCTGAGAGGGATATACTGCTCATCCTCAAGCTCTGCTCTTTCACCGTATGCGAGAAGGACTGGGGTGCTTTGTGTTTGCCAGCCAGTGATGGTCTTAGGTCGTCCAGCCTGTCCAACAACATCCACAGCCTGTCCCACCCGCACATTCACGGTGAGGGGCTGTAGGTCCTCGTCGAGTGTAACAAGGAAGCGAGGATACATGGCGGTGATAAGGAAATAGAGGAGGTAGTGGTGTTCGGCAAGAATGAATTGTTTGGCGTCGATCATAGACACGAGGACTGTGAGCAGACCGGCAGCCGAGACACGTGACAGGACCTGGCGATCAGTGTGGAAAGGATTCAATGTCATGGTGCCCTTGCCCATATGCAGGAGACCTTGGGCAATGCGGACCATGAACAGGGAGTTCTGGTCACGGTGGTAGTAGCTGGCCAACTGTCTGAGTAATTGCGCCAAGCGAGCATTATTGGTACCAGCACCGCAAAGACCCATGGCGAAGATTGCATTGATGGCAACGTCATTGTCGTTGTCGTGGCTGTACCGCGACAAGGTGTCATACACCTTCATCTGTGGGTTGCTAGGGGTAATCAAACCCATAGCAAGGGGAACGGCTTTCCGGATGTTGCTCGCGCCGTAATGCATCAAATGACCGAACTGTCTTAGAATCATGTCTTGGCCGACTTCCTCACCCATAGCAATTAGTGACAGACCCAACACAGCGTATGACTGAACAAGCTCGTCGCCCTTGTTTTCATCGCTCTCTTCAATGATGTCATTGCAGATGTGCAGGAGTTCCTGCAGCTTGAGAACTGTACCCGTTCCAGCCCACGCGCAGACGGAGGCAAGTACAGATGTGGGCTTAGCCATAGGGTGGTCCACAGCTTTGAGAATATCAAGAATGACATCAACCTCTTCTTGGCGGCCGAAGTAAAGAAGCGCCAGACCAAGAGCCATGAAACGCGTCCACTTGTTCTTGAGCTGCTTCTGGCGATCTTCATCCATCAGGGTTGTGGCAATTGCCTCGCTAACTTGATGGTTCGAGGAACCGACGAAAATCAAACCCAAGGAGACGGCCGCCATCGCAGATAGTTGCATATCAAGCGACACATCTTCGACAATCGGAAGCAAAACATCGAGAAGTTCCTCCTTATTAGATCCGGCATAAGCCAAACCAAGACCCATGATAGATGCGACTCTCATTGGCACGTTCTTAGCTTCCAGATTATCGGGATCGCTCAGAAGCGCCAGAGCAGGATCGGAATCCAACCGGACACCCGAGTTTAGGATACCAATAGACAGTAGCGCACCGGCCTTAATCTGATCTTCCGTGGCATACGTGAACTTGTCGATCTTGTCAAGACCAACATCGACATCTCTGTGCATTAGCATACCCATTGAAGCCGTTGTCGACAACATGCCATCGTCCTTTGTCTTCCAAACCCAAGGGCCTTTATCACCCTCAACTAACATCATCTTGTCATTTCCAAATCCAGCGTTGGCAAATGAGTTGACGAAGGCGCTGGCGAGATTGTGGCGCGCAGAGTCGACGTTAGTCAAACCAGCTCCACGGCTGCTTTCCAGGTGCGTTTTGTAGATATCTTCTGGCATCTTGGGGTCGAGAATGTTGAGCTCCTTTCCGAGGGACTTGAAGTGACTGGGGATTAAGGTATTGTTAAGGCAGTCCATGAAAGACTGGTCTTCCTCCTCATCAGGCATGTCTAGCCATATTTGTTGTCTGGCAACAAGGAAAGCCATCTGTTTCTTCAAGGACCTATCCGAGGTGGCATTGATATCGCTCTTAATAAGCTCGGTGTCGTTCAAACGGATCGCGAGGACAACTGCCTTAGTAAACTCCTTATAGCGGACATAGATTTCGTGGGCCGTTCGGAGAAACTGCTGGTCTTCGGGATATGTGAGGAGATTGACCATGGATACCATATATAGACAGACTCTCGAGTATGTGTTCTCGTCCAAGAAGCGCGGGATCTCTTCGATGATTTCGAGCTCACTCAGAAGGTCAACGGCATCAGCTTCGGCATTATGGCTCAAGAAGTACGGGACAAGAGACAGCGCAAGGTCGATCAAATCCTGTACACCCTTCTCAGCGTTTAACCGGTTCTGGTATTCTTGGCCAATTTCCAATGCCAGATGTCTAATGTATTCGTGTCCCCAGGAACCAAGGTCCTCTGACTTTGTCAACAGCCGGTACTTTAGTGTCTCGAGTTTCTCCTCATCTCCGTAAGTCATTCCGAGCACTGAAAGCATATCGGCTAAGGAGTCCTAGATTATCAATGTATGGTTAGTCCCCATGCCGACCATACCCAGAAAGAGAAACCAACCTTAACGGAGCCAGCGGACCATTTCTCATAGAGCTCCGTAAGCTCATCGTAGTGTGGTCTGAGGAACTTAAGAGGCTTCGGAACAGCTGTCATCGACGAGGTTGAAGTCTTAATAAAGTTCTTAATGGCATCTAAGGCGGGGCCGTAAAGGGAGGTATCGGGTTCCTAGAAGCAAAGCGGGCAGGTTAACGTCATCGTTCAGCATATCCTAGGCCTATGCTGAAGAACCATACCTTTAATCTCTCTACGAGCATCTCCAGC